CCCGCTGGGGCGCGGGCGCCGCGGCCCCGCGCCGCTCCGCGTCCTCCAGATCCGCGCGCGCGTCCTCGAGATCCTGGCGCGCGTCGTCGAGCTCCGCCCGCAGCTGGGCGACGACGCGGCTCTCGCCGCCGCCCTGCTCCGCGGCCGCGCGCAGGTCGTCGGCGTCGCGCTTGAGATGGCGGATTTCCGCCGCGGCGGACGACGCCGCGAGCTCCGCGGCGGCCGCGCCGTCCTCGGCCCGCCGCTCCGCGTCGCGGAGCTGCTTCCGCAGCTTGCGCGCGTCGTCGCCGCTGGCCTTCTTCGCGGTCTCCGCGGTCGCGAGGTCGTCGCGCGCGCTCGAGAGGGACGCCTTGAGCCGCGCGACGACGTCGGACTCGTCGACGATGACCGACGACCGCCGCCGCTCGGGGGCGGCCGCCGGCCGGCGCCGCTCCGCGTCCTCGAGATCCGCGCGCGTCGCCGCCAGGTCGCGCTGGGCCTCCTCGAGCTCGGACGTCACGCGCGCGACCTCCCGCTCCGCGGCGGCCTCCCGCTCCGCGGCGGCGGCGTCGGACTCGCGCGCGCGCCGCCGCGCGTCGGACTCGAGCTTCCGCGACGCCTCGTCGCTCGCCGCGCGCGCGTCGGCGGCGTCGCGCCGCGCGGCGGCGAGCTCCTGGCGCAGCGTGCGCTGGTCGTCGCCGGCGGCCTTCTTTGCGGCCTCGGCGTCGGCCCGCGCCGCCTCGTACTCTTTCCGCGCCTCGTCGAGGCTCGCGCGCAGCTTGGCCACGACCGTCGACTCGTCGACGATGACGGACGACCGCCGCCGCGACGGCTTCGACGTCGACCGCGCCTCGGCGTCCTCGAGATCCGCGCGCGTCGCCGCGAGCTCGCGGTTCGCTTCCTCGAGGTCGCCGCGAAGCCGCGCGAGCACGCGGCTCTCGTCGGCCGGCGCCGCCGCCGCCGCGCGCGCCTCGGCCAGCTCCCGCTCCGCCTCGTCGACGCGCCGTTGGTCGTCGCCCCGCGACCGCTTCAGCGCCTCGCACTCCTTCGACTTGGCCTCGTAGTCGCGCCGCGACTCGTCGACGTGCCGGTGGAGCTGCGCGACGACGGCGGAATCCGGCGCCGCGACGCTCGCGCGCCGGCCGGAATTTTTGGTCGCCGCCTCGAGGTCCCGCCGCGCGTCCGCGAGGTCCGACCGGAGCCGCGCGACGGTGCGGCTCTCCGACGACGGCGGCTCGTCGTCGTCGTCGAAGGAGCCGAAGACCTTGAGCGCGCCCGAGCCCGACCGGGGCCGCGCCGTCGGCTCCGGCTCCGCGGCGCGCGCCTCCGCGAGGTCCCGGCGCAGGCCGTCCACCACGGCCTTGAGGTCGTCGTCGCCGCTGCGCTCCGCGGCGGCCCGGCGCTCGAAGTCGAGGTCCCGGCGCAGCTTGGACACCTGGTCGCCCAACGTCTCCCGCTCGACGGCCGCGTCGCCGAGCCTGCGCTCGAAGTCGACGCGCGACGCCTCGGCGCGGCGGTCGGCGTCGGCCTCCGCCGCGGCGACGGCCGCGTCGCGCTTCTTGCGCTCGAGCTCCGCGCCCTCGCGCCGCGCGTCCGCTAGGGCCCGCTCGTCGCTGACGACGACGCGCGTCTCCACGGGCGGCGGCGGCGGCGGCGGCGCGGCGGCCGCCGCCGCGGCCGCGCGGAGCTCCGCGGCGTGCGCCGCCTTCACGTCCGCGAGCGTCGCGCCGAATTTCGACTCCGCGTCCTTGAGCGTGGCCATGCCCGCGGCCGCGGCCCGGTCCGCGCCGCGCTGCTCCGCGGCCCGCAGGTCGTCGGCCCGCACCCGCTCGGCGTCGTCGCGGTCGCGGACGGCGGCCTCGAGGTGCGCCGCGACGGCGTCCTCGACGGACGCGACGACGACGGACGCGCGCGACTTGGGCGCCGCCTTTTGGGACGAAGCGTCGGGCGCAGCACCCTTCGTCACGACGGCGCGCAGCTTGTCGGCGAAGGCGTCCTCGGAGCGGCGCACGGCCGCCGCGACCTCGGCGTCCCGGAGCGCGCGCTCGTCGTCGAGCGCGTCGCGGCGCGCCTTGTCCGCGGCCGCCAGGTCCGCCTCGTGCGCCGTCCGCAGCTCCCGCAGGGCCTGCGCGTGCGCGTGCTCGAGCTGCGCCCGGTCCTCGCGGCGCCGCGACTCGGCCTCGACGGCCCGGAGGGCCTCCGCGTCCTCGGTCGGGCCGCGCGCGTCGTCGACCGCGGCGAGACGGCCGGCCCGCTGGCCCGATTCCAGCGCCCGCGCCACGTCGACGGACCGCCGCGACTCGGCGCTCGCGAGCCGCGCCTCGTAGGACTCGCGCAGGGCCCGGAGCTCGACGCCGTGCGCGTCCTCCGCGGCCGCGAGCGCGACGTTCGCGCCGCCGCTCGCGTCCGCCGCGGCCGCGCGCGCGCGCTCGAGGCTCTCCTTGTACTGGGCCGCGAGCGCCTCGAGGCTCGCCGCCGCCCGGGCCTGCTCCTCCTTGACGCGGCCCACGAGCTCCGCGTCGTGCTTCGCCTCGGCGTCCGCGAGCGCGCGCGCCGCGTCGCGCCGCGCGTCGCGGAGCGCCGCCGCGCGCGCCGCCTCGAGCGTCCGCGTCGCCTCGTCGAGGCGCTTCGCGCCCCGGTCCGCCTCGAAGGCGACGGCCGCGTCGAGGTCGCGCTGCGCGTCGTCGCGCTCCTCCTTGGCCTGCTGCAGCAGCAGCTTCGCCTTGGCCGTCGCGTCGATGGCGACGATGGACGCGCGGCTCCGGCGGCCGCCGGGCGACGGCGGCGGCGACGCCGGCAGCAGCGCGGCGCCGGAGACGGCGTCGCGGAGCTTCGTCGCGAAGACGTCCTCGGTCCGCCGCACCGCGCGGTCCTTGTCGCGCGCGGCGGCCTCGGCCTCGCCCGCGAGCCGCCGCGCCCAGCCGGTCTCGGAGTCCTCGAGCTTGCGGCCCCAGGCCTCGTTCGCCGCCGCCAGCGCGACCGCGCCGTCGCGCTTCTCCCGGTCGAGGCGCGACGACCACGACGCGTCGCGCGCTTCCTCCGCGGCCGCGGCCGCCTCGCGGAGGGCCGACGCGTGCGACGCCGCCAGCGTCTCGACGCGGGCGTCGGCGTCGTTTTTGCACCGGGCGACGACGCGCGCCTCCGCGTCCGCGACGTCGCGCGCGACGCGCGCCTCCCAGCGCTCCGCGAGCGACGCGCGCTGCGCGTCGAGCTCGGCTTCGACGTGCGTCGCGTGCGCGCGCTTCTCCTCGGCGACGGCGCGCTCGACGGCCGTCTCCCGGTCGTCCGCCGCGCGCTCGGCGAGCTCGCCCTTGAGGGCCTCGAGGTCGGTCTCCGCGGCCGCGCGCTCCGCGGACCGCTTCGCCCGTTCGTTGTCGAGCTTCCGCGCAAAGTCGTCGCCCGCGGCGGCCGCGACGGCCACGAGGCGCGCCTTCTCGAGGGCCCAGTCGCGCTGCGCGGCGTCGAGGACCTCGAGCGCGGCCGCCTTGTCGCGCCGCCGCGCGTCGTCCGCCGCGGTCGCGGCGCTCGCGTGCTCGTCGCGCAGGAGGTCGCTCGCCTTGGCGTGCTCGTCGCGGAGCGCCGCCGCGGCCTCCGCGGACCGCCGCCGCTCCTCCTCGAGGGCCTCGTCGCGCGCGCGGTGCGCGTCGTCGTAGCGCCTCCGCGCCTCGTCGAGGGCCTCGCCGTGCTCGGCGCGGCGCCGCTCGAGCGTCTCCGCGTGCTCGGCCCGGTGCTGCTCGAGCCGCGCCTCGTGCGCCGCGCGCGTCTCCTCGAGCGCCTTCCTCCCCTGGACGCGCTCGCGCTCCGCGTCCTCGACGTGCCTCGCCAGCTCCTCCGCGTGCTCGTCGCGCCGCGCGTCGTGGGCCGCGCCGAGCTCGTCGAGCGCCGCCGCGTGCTCGACGCGCCGCGCCTCGAGCGCCGCGGCGTGCTCGGCCCGGTGCTGCTCCAGCGTCTCCGCGTGCTCCGAGCGGTGCGCGTCCAGCGCGCCCGCGTGCTCCGCGCGCGCGGCGTCGAGCGCCGCCGCGGCCAGGGCCCGCTCGCGCTCGAGGTCCTCGAAGGACCCGGCCTTGTGCGTCTCCAGCTTCGAGCTCACGTCGCGGTGCGCCTCCCGGTGCTGCTCGACGACCTCGAGGTGCTCCGCGCGGTGGCGCTCGATCTCCTCGCTGTGCGCCTCGCGGTGCTGCTCGACGATTTCGAGGTGCTCCGCGCGGTGGCGCGCCATCTCCTCGCTCGCGGCGGTCCGCGCGGCGTCGAGCTCGCGCGCGTGGGCCTCGAGGGCGTCGGTGTGCTTCCGGTGGAGCTCGTCGTGGGCCCGGTCCTTCTCCTCGGCGTGGGCCTCGAGGGCCTCGGCGTGCGCTTGGACGTGGCGCTCGATCTCTTCCTGATGCTTCTTGACCCAGGCGTCGTGCGCGTCGCGCTTCGCCCGCTCCCAGGCGTCGCGCGCCTCGTTGTGCTTCGCCTCCCAGGCCTCGTGGGTCTCGGCGTGCTTCGCCTCCCAGTGCTCCGTGGTCTCGGCGTGCTTCGCCTCCCAGTGCTCCGTGGTCTCGTTGTGCTTCGCCTCCCAGTGCTCCGTCGTCTCGGCGTGCTTCGCCTCCCAGGCTTCCGAGTGCTCCGCGTGCCGCCGTTCCCACTCGGCGTGCGTCTCCTCCTTGGCCGAGTGGGCGAGCTCCAGATGCTTGCGCGCCTCCTCGCGGTGGGCCTCGAGGTCCCGGGCGGCCCGGGCGACCTGCTCCCGCAGCCGCGTCTCGTTGTCCGCCTGGCTCGCGGCGAGCGCGGCCTCCAGAGCCGCGCGCATGTCCGCGGCGACGCAGGCCGCCGCGTCCGTCGACACGGCCAGCGAGTCCTGGAACTCGGAGCGCATCTTCTTCTCGCGGCTCAGGGCCGCGGCGACCTCGGCGGCGGCCGCGGCCGCGGCGGCCGCGGCGGCCGCGTCGGCGACGAGGAGCGCGGTCCGGCGGGCCTCGGCGTCGCGCGCCGCCGCGGCGTCGCGCGCGCGCTCGGCGGCGCCGGTCGCGGCCGCGGCGTCGCGCGCGCGGTCCGCGGCGGCGGCGGCGAGCGCCTCGCCGCGCTGCTCCGCCGCGGCGACGGCCTCGGCGGTCTGCTTCGACGCGAGCGATCGGAGGCTCGACTCGAGCGCGTCGGCCTCGGCCAGGGCCCGCGCCTTGTACTGGCGCTCGACGGCCGCCGCGGCCTCGGCGCTCGCGGCCTCGGCGCTCGCGAGCCGCTCGTCGAAGGCGTCGCCGGCGCGCGCGAGGGCCGCGGAACTCGCAGTCTCAGCGTCCGCGAGGCGCCGCCGCGCGGTCTCGCCCGCGGACCGCAGGAGCCGCTCGTGGCCGTCGCAGAGCGCCGCGGCGTCGACGGCGAGGCCCGCGACGCTCGTCGCCGCGGCGGCGACGAGGGCGTCGGGCCGCAGGGACGCGTCGAGCTTCGATTTCGCCGCGTCCGCGGCGCCCGCGGCCAAAGCGGCCACCGTGTCGCGCGCCGCCGCGTCGAAGGCGCCGACGTCGACCGCGCCCGCGGTGAACTGCGCCAGGACCGCGTCCATGGCCCGGGTCACGCGCGCGACGTCGCAGGGCACGTCGGCGAGCGCGCTCGGCGCCCCCTCGACGGTCAAGGCGCATACGGGGGTCGCGCGCGCGTCCAGCGTCTCGGAGGCGACCGTCGGCCGCGCGGGCGGCTCGAGCTTCGACAGCGCGGCCCGGACCTTGTCCACGGCGAGCTTCCCGGCGCGGACGATGGCCCGCGCCTTGGAGGCCTTGAAGCGCCGCAGCAGGTCGCCCGTGTCCTTCGCGTGCCGCGCGTCGCGGTCCGCGACGGCCCTATCCAGGCTCTTCGCGAGCTCGCTCTGGAGGTTCTCCACCGTCGCGTCGTGCTCCCGCTTCCGCCGCTCCAGCGTGTCCTCGAGATCTTCGACGAGGCGCGCCGCCTCGACCTCGCGGAGCGCCGCGTCCTTCTCGGACCGCGCGACGGACTCCGAGAGTTCGCGGTGCTCCGCGTCGCGCGCGGCCCGGAGCCGCGCCTCGCGCTCCTCCGCCGCCGCGCGCTCGCCGGCGCGCTCGTCCTCCGCGAGGGCCTTGTCCCGGGCGTAGCGCTCGGCGATGGCCAGCGCGTCCCGGTCCGCCTCCGCCGCGAGCCGCTCCTTGTGGTTTTCGAAGTCGGCCTGCGCGGCCGTGAGCCGCTTCATGGCGATGTCGCGCGCGGCCTCGGCGGCGTCGGCCCGCACCTTCTCCGCCAGCGCCTTCTCCGACAGCGCCGCCGCCTGCTGCTCGGACGCGCCGAGCGACGCGCGGCACGTCTTGAGCTCGAGGTCCAGGTCGTCGGCCTTGGCTTTCGCGTCCTCGAGGCACCGCGCGGCGCACTCCCGTTCCACTCTTCGCAGCTCGCTCTCCGTCTGCTGGAGCTTGCCGACGCTCGACGCGAGGCGGTCCTCGCGCTCCGCGGCCAACGCCTTCTCGTCCGTCAACAGCCGCTCGAAGCGTTTTTTCAAATCCGCGTCCTCGGCCCGTACCAAACGCAGCTCCTCCTCCGCGCGCCGCGCGGACCGCTGCGACTCCTCGCCGGCGAGGCGCAGCTCGCGGCCCGCGGCGCGCTCGCGGTCCAGCGCGTTCGCCGCCGTCTCGCGCGCCGCGGACTCCGCGTCGAGCAGTTTGGCCAATCGCGACGCCTCGTCGGCCAGGCCCGCGCGCTCGTGCTCCAGGCTCGCCTTGTCCCGCTCGGCCTCGACCAGGTGCACGTCCCGGAGCCGCGCGAGCTCCGCGCGGGTCTCGTCGAGCGCCGTCCGCAGGCCCTCGGAGTCGCGGCGGTAGCGCCGCGCGGCCTCCTCCGCGCCCGCGGCGCCGCGGCGCGCGCGCGGCAGCGCCTTGAGCACGAGCCGCGCGAGCCGCGCGGCCGCGGGCCCGCCGACGGCCTCGGCCGCCGCCGCCGCCTCGCCGCGCGCGGCCTCGCGCGCGTCCTCGACGGTCGCCGCGTACGCGAGCGCGTCGCCCGCGTCGCGCGCCAAAACCTTCGACGCGAGCGCGACGGCGTCGACGGCCCAGGGGCTCCCGCGCGGCGACGGCCGCGGCGTCTCGCGCCGCAGGGCCGGCGGCTGCGGCGGCGGCGTCGCCAGGAGGTCCTCGGCGCCGCCGAGAAAACTCGACGCGTCGTCGTCGCCGAGGTCCGGCAGCGCCGGCGTCGGCGGCGCGGACGCCGACGCGCGCGTCGCGTCGTCGTCAAAGTCCAAAAGCTCGCAGACCCGCGCCGCGAGCTTCTCGAGCTGGAAGCCCGTCTCGTCGAGGGCCGCGCGGAGCGCCGCCGCGGCGACGACCGCGGACCGCTCGCGCGCGGCCGCCGCGTCGCCGTCGCGCTCCGCCGTCGACGCCCGCAGCTCGAGCGCGTCCCGCGTGTCCTTGAGCGCCGCGGCGTAGCGCTCCTCGACGTCCTGCACCGCCGCGGCCGCGCGCGCCTCCGCGTCGCGGAGCTCGGCGTCGTGGCGGACCGCGGACCGCTCCAAGTCGTCGTCGCCGCGGCGCCGGTCGACGGCCGTCCGCGCGCCGTGCTCCGCCTCCGCCGCCTCGAGGTCCTCGATGCGCCGCGCCCGCTCCGTCTCGAGCTCCGCGGCCGCGCGCGCCTTGAGATCCTCGAACTCGCGGCGCTCCAGCGCGAGCGCCTGCTCTAAATCCTCGCAGCGCCGCGCGGCGACCGCCGCGGCGTCGTCGGCATCGCGTTTCGCCTCGAGCGCCGCGCGCGCGTCGCCCTTGAGGCTCTCGAACATGTCCTCGCAGGCCCGCTCCGCCGTCGCCTCGGCCCGCCGCGCCTCGCCCTGGGCCTCCTCGACGGCCTCGACGGAGGTCCGCCGGTCGTCGTCGCGCTCGCGCCGCGCGGCGTCGCGCTCCGCGCGCAGCACGTCGCAGGCCTCCGCCGCCGCCTCGAGCCGCGCCGTCGCCTCGGCCTCGGCCGCCGTGACCCGGAGCACCGCCGCCCGCGCGACCTCGAGCTCCGCGGCGGCCCGCGACGCCTCGCTCTGGAGCTCCGCGTTGGCGCCCTCGGCCCTTCTCAAACTCTCGAGGTGGCGGCCGGCGGCCTCGACGGCCTCGTCGCGCGTCGCCAGCGCGTCGCGCCGCGCGGCGTCGAGCGACGCCTCGAGCTCGGACGTCGCGTCGGCCTGCCGCGATTCCAACGTCCGCTTCTCGGCATCCGCGGCGTCGCGCTCGCGCTTCACGGCGATGGCGAGGTCGTTGTGGAGCTTCTGGCGCTCCTCGCCGAAGGCGCGGTCCTTCGTGGCCTGGGCGGCGACGGCGGCCTCGAAGCGCTTCGCGACGTCGTCGACGCGTTTTTCCAGAAACTCGGACCGCTCCTTGCCCTTGGCGAGCTCGCTCCGCAACGACCCGGCCGACGACCGCTCCGACTCCACGAGGGACCGCAGCCGGTCGCGGTCGCTCTCGAGCAGCGCGAACTTGACCTCGAAGTCCTTCGCGGCCGACGCGAGCGCGGTCGACTTTTGGGTCCGCGCCTCCGCGAGCTGGGCCTTGAGCGCGGCGCCGTCGTCGCGCTCGCGGGCGACGCGCGCGTTCGTCGCGTCGAGCTTCGCCTCGAGGCGCGTCGTCTCGTTTTTCGCGTCGCGGAGGGCCCGCTCCGCGTCGGCCGCGCGCTTCTCCAGGCCCTCGACCTTCCCCCGCGCGTCCTTCTCGCGGGAGACGGCGCCGGCGCAGCGGCTCTCGGTCTCCTCGATGGTCGCCTCGAGCTTGGCGACGATGGAGACGCGGCTCTTCGCCTCCGCCTCCGTCCGGGCCTGGCACGTCCGCGCGTCGCGGCCGACGAGCTCGAGCTCGCGCCTCGCGCCCCGCGCCTCCAGGGACGCGTCGTCGCGCTCCCGGCGGAGCGACTCGGCTTCCGCGCGCAGCTTGGCGCACGCGTCGCGGTCCTGTTGGGCCTTGGCGGCGCTCTCGCGCGCCGCGTCCTTGGCGCGGTTCGTTTCGGCGTCCGACGCGCGCTTCTCGTCCTCCGCGGCTACGACCTGGGCCTCCGCCGCGGCCCGCAACGCCTTCTCCTCCGCGAGCTCGCGGCCCAGGGTCCGGGCGAGCGCCGCGGCCTCGCCGTCGACGACGGCGAACGACCGCGACTGGCGCTTGCTTTTTAATTCGTCGACCTCGGCCTCGAGCGCCGCGCAGCGCTTCCGCAGGTCGTCGCGCTCCGCCACTAGAGCCCCGGATTCCAGGGCTTCGAGGCGCTGCTCGAGCTCCTCCTTCTGCATCTGGACGTAGCGCAGCGCGTGGACCTCCGCGACGACGGCGTCGCGGTCGTCGCCGGACCGCGGCGCGCCCTCGAGCTCCTTGGCGAGGACGGCGTTCTCCCGGCGCAGGCGGAGCGCCTCGGCCTGGGCGTCGCGCAGGAGCTCCGCGGCCTCGTCGTCGCCGCCCATGCTGCGCAGCAGCTCGTTCTCGTCCAAGAGCCGCTTCGCCTCGCGCCGCGCGTCCGCGAGCGCGGCCTCGACGTCGCTCGGCGGCGCGCGCCGCTTCAGCCGCTCGTTCTCGTCCCGCAGCCGGTCGAGCTCGTAGCCGCCCCCGCTCCGGCCCCGCTCCGCGGCGTCCGCGCGCGCCTCCGCGGCGTCGCGCTCCGCCGCGGCCGCGGTCAGCGCCGCGGCGTACTCGTCGCGCTCGCGGCGCAGCGCCAGCGTCGAGCCGGCGTCGTCGAAGGCGCCGTCGACGCGGCACGCGCGGTCCCGGAGCCGCGCCTCGAGGGACGCGACGATCTCGGCGTGCTTCAGCGTCTCCGTGCCCCGCACCCAGGCCTTCAAGACCCAGCGCCGGAGCAGGTCCTCGCAGCGCGACAGCTCCGCGGCGAGCTCGCCGCGGCTCATGGTCGCCATCGGGCGTCGGTCCCGCGTGGCGCGCAAGGCTACGTTCGGCTCGCAGCAGTGGCGGTTCCCATTGATCGACGCTGCCCCGAGTAAATGATAGATTTTTTTGTTGAAGCCATATAGAAAATAGTCAAGCTATGAAAACCAGAGTAGCGATCTTTTGTCCGAGACGCACCATTTTCTTCAAAATTGCGATGAAGGGCACCTGGCGGCGTCCCGAGGCCACCCATTCACAAAAATACTTCCAGGTACCGCAGCGTGTGGCGTCGGACAAAGAATACGTGTTATCTTCTGTCCTCGACCAATGAAATCGCTGGAATATGCGACTGACTTTAATTTTTCCATAATATAACTATTTTCTATATGCACAATTAATTACCCGAACCGCGCGAGCCGCTTCTGGCGGAGGTCGTCCGCGTCCCGCGGCGGCGGCGGCGGCGGCTGGCGGGGCGCGGCGGCCGGCGGGAAGTGGGGCGACGTCTTGCCCTTGAGCGCCTTCTTCAGCGAGGACATGCCCTGGAACTTCTGAGCGTCGCGGCGCTCGTGCTCCTTGGAGACGACGCCCTTGAGGCCCTTCTTGCCGTCGAAGCCGAAGACGTTGCCCCGGGGCCCGCCGTCGTTGCGCGCGGCGGACCGCTCCGCGGCGCCGCGCGTCTGCGCGTCCTCGGCGCGCTTGATGTCCGCGTAGGACGCGCCGCTGAGGCCGATGTTCTTCGTCTTCGGCTTCGCCGCGGGCGCGTCCGCGGCGTCGTCGGCCCAGCCGACCCAGGCGTCGCAGGGGAAGCACTTGTAGTACTTGCGGCCCGGGTTCTTCTCGCTCCGCGAGACGCGCGCCTCGCAGGCCGCGCCGCACGTGCCGCACGTCGGCGGGCCCGCGGCGGCGGCGGGGGCGGCGGCGCCCGCCGGCTCGGGCTGCGCGGGCGGCGCGGCGCCCGCCGGCGGCCGGGTCGTAGCGCTCCTCGCGGCCTGTCTTCGGGTCCTGGAGCGCGAGCCGCCGGCCGAGGTGGAGCGCGATGACGACGTCGACGCCCTTGAAGAGCTCGCGGTGCGCGGCAGTGCCCGGCGCCGGCGCGAGGCCCGCGGGGATCGCGCCCGTCGCGAGCAGCTCGACCCGCGTCGTCTCGTAGACGCAGAACGGCGCGGCGTCGCCGCGGCCGTTGACGAGCCGCACGTTCAGCGCCGCCTTGCCGAGGAGCCGCGACCGCCAGTACTGCGACGCCTCGCGGAACTCGACGCGCTTCTTCCCGTAGCAGATGGCCTCGAACCACTCGCGCTTGATCGGCAGCTGCGCCTCGGGCACGAGCGCGGGCTGCGCGGCCGCGGGCCGCGGCGCGGCGGCGGGCCGCGGCGCGGCGGCGGCGGGTCGCGCGGCGGCGAAGACCGGCGCCTCGACGCGCGCGCGCTTCGCCGGCTTCGCCTCGGCGCCGCCTCGCAGGAGGCGCTCGTCCTCGGAGTGATCACTCAGGTCTTCGACGAGGCGGTCCGCGGTCACGAAGGCCGGCAACGCTTGCGCCGGCGCCGGAGGCGGCGCGTCGTCGTCGGAATCGCTGATTAAGTCGACGATCTCGGCCATCGTGTCGCGCGGCGCGTCGCGCTGGCCGTCGCGCACCTGCCCACGCGACCTTGAGCCGCAGCATCAACGACGACCGCAACAACGCTTCAACCACGCGTCCGCCACATTGCCGGAGGGAGGACGCGGGCACCAGCTTCGCCAGCTTCGCCAGTTGAAGGCCAGCTTCGAAGCCAGTCACCGCGACCTCCCTCTGCACATTGCACGACGTCTCGAACACGCCTTTTGCGCCAACCAAGGAAGGCAAACACACCCTTACCGCCGGCTGCTGCGCGCGAGGACGTCGTGCTCCTTGAAGGCGATGTTCGGGTAGCGGCGCTCGACGTTGACCCACTGCTCCGGGAGCGTCGCGTCGCGCTTGCGCTGGAGCTCGTCCGGGTGCGTCCCGCCGAGCTCGACGCAGAGCGCCTCGAGCGCCGCCCAGGTCGAGCCGAAGGCCTCGGGCTGCAGCGCGCCGGACGCGATCTGCGGGAAGAAGACCTTCGGGTCCTCGGAGCGGTACTCGTTGCCGTGGATGTCGAGGAGGTCCTCGAGGCCGACCCAGATGGCGCCGACGCTGTGGAAGGACGGCACGGTCTTGATGGGCTTGGGCTGGACGGCGTCGGGCTCCGCGAAGAACAACGCGCGCACCGTCTTCTTCTCCGAGGGCTCCATGAGGATCCGCAGCAGCCCCCGCGGCGACACCTTGACGTTCGTGTCGCGCAGGCACGACGCCACGGCGGCCTCGACCATGGTCTCGCCCGGCCGCGCCTTGCCCGCGGGGATCCAGTACCGCGGCTTGCCGTTGCAGTTCGCCGTGTGCGCCGACTCGAGCACGAGCAGGAACTTGCCGTCGGCGGGCCGGCGCACGACGAGCAGCGCGTAGGCGTCGAAGGTCTTCTCCGGCGCCGCCGCCGCGAAGTCCGCGACCGCGGGCGGCGCGAGGCCCCGGTGCACCTTGGGATTCGACAGCACCATGCACTTGAGCTCGTGCGACGAGATGAACGCGTCGCCGTCCTGGTCCGTGCCCTCGGGCGTGTGGTACTCCTCGAGGTGCGTCGCGAAGGACTCGAAGCCCTTGGTCCGCCGCGTGACCTTGGCGCAGAGCGGGCATTTCGCGTCCGCGCCCCGCTCGGCGACGTGGAAGAGCGAGTAGTGCGCGAAGAGCTGGGGCGGCGTCAGGCCGTCGAGGCCGCAGGCCGGGCAGGCGACGCGCGCGCGCCGCTCGCCCTCGGTCTTCGCCGGGTCGGCCACGGACGACGCGCGCGCGAGTTCCAGCGCGCGCGTCGCGTCCCCGGCGACGCCCGTCACCATGCGCGCGCCGGCGCCCAGCGCGTCCAGCGTGTAGCGCGGGCTCGCGGCGACGGGCCGGCTGTAGACGATGACGAAGATGCGCTTCAGCGACGCCTCGAAGGGCGCGTGCGGCCGCTGGATCACGCGCAGCAGCGGCCACGACATCTCGCCCTGGTCGATGACGCCGTCGCCGTCCTCGTCGTAGGCGTCGACGAGGCAGGCCAGGGGCAGGCTCCGACCGGACCGCGGGTGCTGGATCGCCGCGAGCTCGTCGAGGGCGCCCTGGGCCGTGCGGTGGAACGCGCTGCCGAAGCCCGCGCGCTCCGCGAGCGCGGTCAGCTCCGGCCGCCGCCGCTCGTCGGCGGACCGGATCAGGACCCAGGGCCGGTCCGTCGGCGGGCCCGTCGCGGCCCCCGGCGCGGGCCGCGACAGCGCACCGGCGCTCGACTTCCCAAAGGGGTCCGACCCGCAATTTAGCAGCGCGCCGTCCACGGTTCGCAGCACCTGCGGCGACGACACGGGCCCGACGCTCGGCGCGCTCGCCAGCGTCGGCGCGCGGGAGGCCACGGGCGTGACCTCCGGCGGCGGCGCGACGGCCACCTTGTTCACGCGGTATTTGGACGCGCGACCCATGACGGGCTGCTCCCACCGCGGCGCTGCCCGCGGACCGTTGCGGACAAAGTTGCGCAAGGAACCATTACCCCGCGGCCGCGGCCGCCGCCTCCGGCGCCTCGCCCGGCGCGGGCTCCGGCGCGAGCGCGGCGGCCTCGTCGTCGAGGAGCAGCCGCCCGTGGAGGGGCGTGCGGCGCTTCGCCTGGCGCCACTGGAACCAGGCGTCGGTCGGCGCGCCGCTCGACCGGCCCTCGCGGCGCGTCGCGCGCGCGAGCACGTGGCCGTCGCCCGCGGCCGCGGCGACGACGCGCCGCGACGCGAGGGGCCAGACGGGCATGGGCGCCTTGACGGGCGCGTCGCGGCCGAGCACGGCGCCCGAGCCCCAGACGTGGAGCACGCCGTCGTCGTCGAGCGCGGCCGCGAAGGTGCGGCCCGCGCCGACCCAGAGCGCGTCGCGCACCGCGTCGACCTTCCGCGGCGCGCCGGACGCGACGGCGGCCGCCCTCGCCTTCTTCGGCGTCGCCTCGGGCGCCGGCGGCGCCGACGCTCTCGTCGCCAAAGGCGAAGACGGAGCCGTCGACGGCGAGCGCGACGACGAACGACGCGCCCGCGGCGACCTGGGACACGGCGACGGGGAGCGCGACGCGCTCGAGGCGCGGCGCGGCGCTCCGGCTCGCGGCGGCGGCGAGCCGCCGGAGGCGGTCGTCGGGCCCGTCGACGCGCGCCGCGACGGCGGCCGCGACGGCGCGCGACCGGAGCACCGCGGCGCGCGCGGCCGCCAAAGCCGCGACGGACCGCTGCATGCGCCGCAGGTCCGGCCCGCCGAGGCCGTGCGCCTTCTCCGCCCGGTGCGCCGCGAGCAGCGCGCCGCGGCGCGCGGGCGGCGGCAGCGTCGCGAGCGAACCGTCGGCCGCGTCGGACTCGAGTTTCAGCGCGACGTCCGCCGTGCGCCGCGCGCGGCGCACGGCGTCGCGGGCCGCGCGGTCCGGGTGCGCGTGGTCCTGCCAGCAGTCCGGCGGCGCCGCCGCCGCCGGCGCGTCGCCGGCCCTGGCGCGCCACGCGAAGCAGGTCCCGTCGCGCGCCGCGACGACGTTCACCGCCTGTGTGGAAATCAAATCTTCAACCCGACTGCAATGTGATCGTATGCGTTCGTTTCGACGCAAGCTCTTCCGCCGTGTTTCAAGAACTCGACGAGAGCAATCGATTCGTCCAAAAATCAGCCGAATCGACATCGATTTGACGGAGCTAGAGAGTTCTGAAGTTTGGTGGGGACCCCCCAAACCAGTGGTTGATTTCCACACAGTTCACCGCGGCCGTCGCCGCCGCGGAGACGACGTCGACGGTCGCGAGGGCCGCCCGCAGCCCCAGCGCGCCGGCGCCGCCGTCGAAGGCCGGCGTGCGCTTCGCCGCGAAGCCGAAGAGCCGCCGGCACCCGTCCGCGTACTCCGCGCAGACCTCGACGCAGTCGCGCCGCGGCGACAGCGCGACGCGCGTCGGCGGGCCCGCGGGCGGCCGCGCCGCCGCGGTCGACGGCGCCTCGCCGTGGTCGGCGTCGTCGTCGAGCCAGGGCCCCTCGTCGAAGGCGGCCTCGGCCTCCGGCTCGAGCGGCGCGAGTTTGGCGGGCCGGTCGCGGAACGCCTCGCCCACGGTCGCGCCCCAGGCGTAGACGGACCCGTCGGCGCAGCCGCAGGCCGACCGGTCGCCTAGCGCGGCGACGCAGACCACGGCGCGGCCTCGCAGCGCGTCGTTCGGGGCTTTCCTCGTCCGCGAGTCGCCGAGGCCGAGCTGCCCGCGGCCGTTCGCGCCCCAGCCGTAGACCTCCGCCGTCCGCGCGCCGTCGAGGTCGCGGAACCCGGCGACGTAGGGCGGCGGCCGCGACGCCGCCGTGCCCGCGGCGAGGCGCCAGAGCGCGTCGTCGCCGACGACGCGCGCGCCGAGGCACCGGCACGCGGCGCCCAAAGCCGCCAGCGCGCCGCCGCCCAAGAAGCGCGCGAGCACGCCGAGGCCCTGGCGCGGCAGCCGCGCGAGCCAGGTCTTCGGCGGGCCCGCGTTGAGCTCCCAGGGGTCGTCCCACTCGGGGCACCGCACCGCGCCCAATAGCGACGCCTCGGAGCCGACGGACTCGCCGGAGTCGTAGCCGTCGCCGTCGCGGCGCGGCGACCTGCGGGAAAGCGCCCATGTCCCTCGCCAAAAAGCCATTTAGGGACGCCGGTCGAAAAGAGGACGCGCTCCGCCGCTTCCGCCGCTCGTAGCGGTCGCTCTCGCAGGACGCCATGACGCAGACGGGCAGCCAGCCCCCGCGGCGGAGCGCGTGGCGCGCCGGGCGGAAGCCCAGGTTCGCCGCGAGCGTCACGCGGCGGCGCACGGCCTCGCCGGCGACCTTGACGGCGCCGACGGCCGCGCGGGGCACGCCGCAGCCTGTGCCGGAAACAACCGGTGGAATGGCCCCGTCCAGCAAAATTTCAAGCCTCTCTCTCTCGGTCGAATCGACGTCGATTCGGCTGATTTTTGGACGAGTCGCTTTCTCTCGTCGAGCTCTGCGAAAAAAAACATGTCAAAACCACATGCATATTGAAGTCGTGTTGAATATTCTCGTTTCCCGCCCGGGCCGCGGCGGGACGGCCGCGCGATGGACCACGCCTTCGAGTTGGGCCGCTTCACGAGGGCCACGACGTCGTCGTCGTCGGAGCGGGGCTCCCGCTCGGGCCGCCGCTGGTCGCACCAGCGCCGCTCGAGGCCGTCCGCGGGGCCCTCGCGCGACGGCGACCCGGCGGACGGGCTCCGGGAGCCGCGCGACCCGCCGCTCGGGCTCCGCGACTTGCGGCCCGGCGACTTGGACTTGCGGCCCGCCGGCGGCGCCGCGGTCGCCGCGGCGGCGCGCGGGGGCTCGGTGACGCGCGCCTGCCGCGGCCGCGCGACCGGCGGCGGCGGCGGCGGCTCCTTCCGCCGCGCGCGCCGCTCGAGCGCCAGCAGCGTGCGGCCGTGCTCGTCGAGGGGCGCCGCGGCCGGCGCGTCGAGGGGCGCCAGCGGCGTCAGGACGACGCGCGTCATGCCCGCGCACGCGTCCGCCGCGCCGGCCGCCATCGTCGCGGCGCGCCGCGCGGTCCCGAACGCGAGCCACGCGGTCTCCTCGGCGACGGCCGCGGCCGTGTCGACGATGCCGTCCATGGGCGCGTAGAAGTGGCCGTCGGCCGGCGGCCGCGCGAGCACGGCGCGGCACGCCGCGCGCCGCGCGAGGTCGAAGACGCCGAGCTTGCGCCGCCGCGAGCGAAAGTGGACCGCCGGCGCGGCCTCCGCGGCGAGCATGAGGCGCACGGCCCGGGGCTGGATGCCCCGGGGCCGCCACTCCTCCTCGCTGGACGACGACGAGTCGCTGTCCGAGTCCTCGAGCCGCGCGCGGCCGCGCGTCCGCGACCGCGCGCGGTCGACGTCGCGCTTCGTGATCCGCCGCGCCGGGTCCGGCGACTTCGAGCGGCTCCGGACGCCCGCGCGCCGCCAGCGCCGCGGCCGCGCGGCGAGCTCCACGGCCGTCCAGGCGCGCGCGCGCGCGAGGGCCTTGTGGGCGCGCTTCTCGGCCTCGCGGTCGATCTCCCGCACGACCAACGCGACGCCCTCGGCCTCCGCGGACCGCCAGAGCCGCTCCTCCTTCTCCGTGATGAGCTTCTCCCGCCACTGGGCGTCGGCCAGCGCTTTTTCCGCGGCCGTCTGGGGCTTGATCATGCCCATGGACTCGAAGAACATGGTCAGCTCGTGCTCGGTCCAGGACTCCAAGGCCTCCGCGGGCACCTCCAGGCTCCCGCAGTTCTGGTAGCGCGCGCGGCACGCGTCGATCCAGCGCAGCCGCGCCGCCACGCGGGACTCGGCCATGGTGTGGCTTTGCAGTGGTTACATTGCTGCGATCCCGGGTTGCCGCCGCATCACTCCATACAAAAGAAGCGCAGCCCGGTGCAATGCAAACTATGCCGTGCAATCACCAGAGATATTGACCTGAGAACGACAGAAACGCCAGCCCTGGGGTTTCATCCTTATCCGGGCCAGCTCTCCTCGCAAGAAAAGACGAGGCCCATCGCGCGCCGGCAAGGCGGTGTGCCGCCATGGCGTCGCCGGCGGGCTCGACGGGCGCGCCGTCGCCGAAGCTCGGCGCCAAGGAGCGCGAGGAGAAGCGGGCCCGCGAGAGCCGGGCGCGGGCCATGGCGAAGAAGATGGAGCTCAAGAAGGCCATGGAGGAGCGCAAGGAGCCCGAGAGCAACGCCGAGGCCCTCGCGGGCATGCGCGACCTCCACCCGGAGCTCAAGAACCTCGCGCGCCTCCAGGCGCAGCAGCAGCAGGTCTACGAGGCCACGGGCGTGGGCGGCGTCGCGCGGCGGCCGAGCCTCCTGAAGCACGACAGCGTCCGCGGGTCGAACCTCCTCGGCCGCGGGTCGGCGACCATCGTGTCGCGGTCCTCGGACCAGGCCGGCGCCGGCGGCGCGCGCGCGTCCGTGAGCGCGCGCGGCCGGAGCAGCCTCGTGCCGCGCGCGTCGCTCGCCTTCGCGCCGTCCGCGGAGCAGATCCGCGTGGCCTTCGGGGGCGCGGCGCGGCGTCCCGGGGGCGCGAGCGAGGTCCCGGCCGGAACCGCTCCGTCGTAGGCAAGGAGGCGCCGGCGGACGACGCGGCGGCGGGCGACGCGGAGGAGGCGTACGTCGCGCCCCACAGGGCGGCAAAAGAGAGCGAAATTCCCAACTTCAAAGGCTCCGATTTCGGCCGTTTTCCACTCGTTTTGGCTGATTTTTAAACGAGCGATCATCTCTCGGAACGGTCTCGAAGCGTGGATGCTTTTTATGGAACGCGCTTGCGCGGAACACTCACGTTGAAGCGATGTTGAATCACTCTTTTGCTGCCCAGGCTCCCCAGGCGTCGATCCTCGACTCGAACTACGTCGCCGTGCGGCGGCTCTGCAACCGGGACCACCCCTGGCGCAAGCGCTGGGACCTCGCGGTCATGATCGTCATCTCCCTGGACTTCCTCATGACGCCCTTCCTCGCCGCGCGCGGACCCGGCGTCGCGAGTGTCTCGCGAAGGCGACGATCGTCCCGCGCAGGTTCAACCAGCATTATTCGCGCGCGGGGCGGGGCTTCGGCGTCGCCGCGGACCGCGACTACTTCCAGGGCCTCGTCGTCGGCTACGTCGTCGACTGTTTCCTGCTCGTCGACATGGGGCTCCAGGGCATCACGATCATCTACGACGTCCGCTGGGGCATCGTTGACACGGTCGACGAGCTCCGGCGCCGCTACGTGCGGAGCTGGCGCTTCGTCGTCGACGCGGCGGCCTGCCTGCCCTGGGAGGTCGTCGCCCTCACGCTCGGCCGCGGGCCGAACTCGCTCCTGTTTTCGCAGCTCCGCATGAGTCGCGTCGTGCGCATCTACCGCGTGCGCGAGACGCTCCAGCGCTGGGGTTTGAACATCCGCATGAACTCGAACGCCGTGGGCATCGTCAACTGCGTGTTCTTCATCGTCTTCGCGTCCCACTTCGTCGCCTGCGTCTGGTTCTGGCTCGCGTACACGTCGTCGAGCACGAAGCGCGACGTCGTCCAGCAGAGCGTCGAGTCGCTCCTGGCCTCGGAGCCGAACACGTGGCTGGACCTCGTGCTGGACTGGCAGGACATGAAGACGAGCCTGCTCTACGTCAAGTCGCTCTACTGGACCATGAGCACGATGACGACCGTCGGCTACGGGGCCGCGAAGGGGCGCGACGTTCCCAACTTCTCTCTCGGCCGTGTTCCACTCGTTTCGGCTGATTCTTGGACGAGGGATCGTTTCACGGAGCGTTTGCGACGCGCGGATGCCTTTTCTTTGGAACGCGCGCGCGCGGAACGCCCACGTCGAAGCGACGTCGAATCGCCCGTTCGCGGCCCAGGTCGGCTACGGCGACCTCACGCCCGTGTCCACGAAGGAGCACTGGTACGCGATCTTCGTCATGCTCTTCGGGTCCATCCTGTTCGGCTACATCTTCGGCCTCATGGCGTCGCTCGTCGCGAGCATGGACGTGACCATGGCGGCCTTCCGCATGAAGGTCGACTCCGTGCAGCGGTTCCTCCACTACCGGAACGTGCCGCGGGAGCTGTGCGAGCGCGTGCACCGCTACCACGACAACACGTGGGCGCAGACGCGGGGCTTCGACGAGCACGCCATCATGTGCGACCTGCCGAGCTCCATCCACCTCGACCTGGCCCTGCACCTCTACGGCGACATGCAGGGCAGGAAAAGAGTGCGACATTCCCAACTTCAAAGGCTCCTCTCTCGGCCGTTTTCCACTCTTTTTGGCTGATTTTTGGACGAGCGATCATCTCTCGGAACGGTCTCGAAGCGTGGATGCTTTTTTCTGGAACGCGCGCGCGCGGAACACTCACGTTGAAGCGACATTGAATCTCTCTTTTCCTACCCAGGCGACATGATCATCTCCGTGCCGCTCTTCAAGAACGCGGAGCCCGCGTTCGTGCGCGCGATCGTGCTGCGGCTGCTGCCGACGGTCTTCCCCGAGAACGAGAAGGTCGTGCTCAAGGGCGAGGTGGGCCGCGAGATGTTCTTCATCCAGCGGGGCCACTGCGAGGTCGTCAACGACGAGACGGGCGAGATGCTCGTCGAGCTCCAGGACGGCCAGTACTTCGGCGAGGTGTCGATCTTGTGCGAGGCGCGGCGGACGGCGACGGTGCGGTCCGTCACGGAGGTCGACCTCCTCGTGCTGAACAAGCAGGACCTGGACCTCGTCTGCAGGGACTTCCCGCGGGTCGCCGCCTGTGTGGAAATCAAACAGTGGGTTATCCCGACCAAACTTCAGAACTCTCTCGCTCGGTCACATCGAAGTCGATTCGGCTGATTTTTGGACGAATCGATTGCTCTCGTCGAGTTCTCGAAGCACGGCAGAAGCGCGCGCGTCGAACCCGTCGCATACGCTCGCATTGAAGTCGGGTCGAAGATTTGATCTCCACGCAGGTCGCGGCGAAGATGAAGGACCTCGCGGACGAGCGGCGGAAGATCATCGGCGCGCGCGTCTGCAAGGTGCTCAACGGGAAGAAGCGCGACGACGCCGCCAAGCCGGAGACGGACGAGGAGCGGCGCCAGCGCGCGGAGAAGCGGAAGCTCGAGCAGAAATTGGAGGAGGTGTCCGCGAACACGGCCAAGTCGTCGGAGGCGCGCGAGGAGGAGCGGACGCGCATCGTCGGCCAGACCATGGTCCAGGCCTTCAAGGCGCGCCGCGCGTCGACGCTCGCGCCCGTCGAGGAGCAGAAGGCCGACGTCCAGGCGTCCGTCATGTACGCGGCGCCGAAGCCGACGCGCGTCGGCCTCGAGCGCATGTCGTCGAAGCGCCGGCTCTCGGCCGCGGGGGGGTCCGTCCGCGCCGTCAACGTCGCCGCGCTCCGGCAGGCGCCCAAGGTCGCGCCGGACCTCGTCGTCGAGGACAGCAGCGACAGCGACAGCGGCGACGACGACGACGCGCCGCCGCCGGCGTCCCCGGGCTCGACGGGGCCGACGCCGGCGAAGCGGGACCTCGAGGAGGCGTAGTCTTCTTATTTTGGGCTGTGTACCGGGGGTGATGACTGGGGGCTCGGCCTCGGGTTCGCCGATCTATGCGTCGGATAAACCCTTGCCGCAGCGCGAGGTAACACGCCACGCGCAAGCTGAGATTTCGAGTTTTCTGACTGCTCGACTCCTTATCCACTGCTCCGCGTGCACCGATTGCGACGCGCCGTCCGAGACCCACAAACCTCACACGAAATGCCTCGCCAGACGCCGGGATGCTGCGCATGACCGACGCAAGCGATGAGCGCCGCGCCGCAAACTGCTGGGCGATTCCCGTCCTGATCCTCTCCATCATTCAGATCATCTTCATCGTTATCTTGGACTTCCCCTCTTTTGTCGTGGGTGTCTTCGGCACCGTGACGTCGTCGCTTGTTGTTTGCGGCTGTCTGCCCGCGACCGGAGCGCAGGGTTGCGGCTACACCGCGGCGAAGGTCCTTGGCATCATCACGTCGGTCCTCCAACTCGGCGCTATGATCGCGCACATCTCGTTGTGGGTGATATTTTCGGTGTCGGGCACAGAAGCGATTGGGTGGATCATATGGATCGTCATCAAGATCGCGTCGTTGGGGTGCACGGTCGCGCTCACGCAGAAGCTCTTCAAAGCGCACGCCGCGGCGCTGCGCGACGAGTCCTCGCGCCAACCGTCGGTGATCATCGGATCCGTCGTCGAGATGACGCCGGCCCACGAGAAGGCGTGAAGCAAGTCCAAGTACCGCCCCGGCGCGCCCAAGAAACGCGCCTCCCCGTCGTGGAGCGGCTCCTCGAAGCTCCCCCCCCCCGTCGCAAACCCCTCGACGCGTCCCCCATCGCCCCGGTTCCTAAAGGCCCATCGGCCGCTCTCCACATTACGCGACGAACACGTCGAGGTCGTCGTCCCAGTCCGGCACGTGGAGCCGGACGCGCCTCCGCGCGTTCGCGTCGCCGTAGGCCCAGAGGCGCAGGACCCCCGGCGCGCGGCGGAGGAGCTCCGGCGGGAACTCCGGCGGCGGCGTGCGCTTCGAGGGCCGCCACTCGCGGGTCTCGACGCGGAGAGGCGCGAGCGCGTGCGCCTCGAGGTCCGCCCGCCAAAGGTCGACGGTCCGCCCGACGCTCGTGAGGAGCACGTCGCCGTGCCTCGGGAACCGCGTCAGGAGGGCGTGGACCTTGATGCGCCGCAGGTTCTCGAGCGAGAGCCGGCCGTGGACGCGCGTCTTCTGCCGCGGGTGCTGCCGCCAGCCGAAGAACGCCGTCTCCGGCAAACCATCAACCGCGCCGCTCCGCGGCGACGCGACCCGCCCGCAGGTGAGCCCGAGGCGAAAGAACTCGAGCCACCACCAGAGGTCCACGGGCGTGTCCAGGTCGCACGCGCCGTGCGGGCCGTCGCGGTAGCAGCCGCCCGTCGCTTCTAAAACCCGGTCGACGGCGGCGCGCGCGAAGAGCGCGGTCTGGTGGAGCGCGGGGATCTCGACGTAGCGCGCCGCGGCGAGGTCGGCGGGCGTCGCGAGCGCGTTCTGCCAGGACACGTACGCGACCATGCGCGCGCTCGGAGACCCGAACGCGACCGCGTCCGAGCAGACGCCGTCCCAGCGCTCCGCCCGGAGCGCGTCCATCATCGTCCGGAAGGCCGCGGGGTTCGGCCGCGCGTCGTCGGCCTCCATCTGCGCGATGAGAGGCGCGGTCGCCTGCTTGAGCGCGAGCGACATCGCGCTGCCTTGCCCTCGGTTCAGACCGTCGCGGTAGCGGACGACGGTCAGCGCGTGCTCGGGGCGCGCGGCGCCCACGACGTCGGCGACGCTCAGCGCGTCAAAGGCCGCGCGCGCGACGCCCGGGTGGTCCTCGTCCTCGGCCTGGCGCGGCGCGGCGGCGGCGGCGGGATTGCCTGCGGGCGTCCGCGCGGGCGCGTCCGCGTCGCCGGGCTCGACTTCCTTCACGGCGCCGCCCAAACCCGCGGCGACATCCACGAGGAAGTCCCAGGCGTCCCGGTCGCCGCCGTCCCAGGCGCAGATCAGCTCAAGGCGCTCGCCGGCGGCGAGCTCCTGCCGCAGGACGTCGCGCACGGCGACGGTCAAGTAGGGCATGGCGTTGTAGACCGGCAGGATGACGCTGAGGGCTGCAACGGCTGCTTCATCGACGGCTGCGGCATCGGCGCAGGGATCGGCCGCGAGGGCGGCCATCGCCTAGCCTCGCTTGTTGAGGTCAACCTCAGTGTTTTTTTGTGATTTGTGGCAATTCTGGGCCGCCCTACAGAATGTCGCACAGCCGCAACGTCTTCGCCGCCGGCGTGGCCGTCGGCGCCTCCGCGACGCTCATCTCCTGGGCCGTCGTCCACGTGCGCGACAAATTGAAGCGCTTCGGCCGTGCGCGGTCGGAGCAGCTGACCCTGGCGCAGCTCGAGGTCGACAGCGTGCCGGAGGCGCTCGCAGCCTGGCGCCGCGAGGCCGAGGTCGCGGTCGAGCTCGCGCGCGAGTGCGGCCTCGCCATGCGGCGCGCCGCCGACGACGCCAAGGCCGTGGACTGGAAGGGCGCGGGCACGCTCGATCCGTGCACGGCGACGGACCGCGACAACGAGGCGCTCGTCTGCCGGCGCCTCGCTCTAGAATTCCCGGCCCACGCCGTCGTCGGCGAGGAGGCCGCGGCCGCGACGGGCCGCATCCCCGCCGTCGATCCGGCCGTGCCGACGTGGGTCGTCGACCCCATCGACGGGACGCAGAACTTCTTCCACGATCTGCCTTTGGCCTGCGTGTCCATCGGGCTCATGCACCGCGGCGCGCCGCAGCTCGGCGTCGTCTACGACCCCTACCGCGACGAGATGTACGTCGCCGCGCGGGGCTACGGCGCGTTCGTCAACGGGCGGCGGCTCAAGCCCGCGGGCGGCGCCGGCGAGCCCGCGGAGCTCGCGGAGGCGCTCGTGCTGACGGACCCGGGCTACGAGCGGTCGCCGGGCGGCGTCGCGAAGCTCGTCGCGCTCCACGGGAAGCTCCTGGCCGCGCGGACGCGCGCGGTCCGCGTCGTCGGGAGCTCCGTGCTCTCGGTGCTCCTCGTGGCCTCGGGCCGCGCGTCGGCCTTCGTCGCGGGCGTCGGCGACGGCGGCGACTCGCCCAAGCCCTGGGACTGGTGCGCCGCCGCCGTGTTCGCGAGGGAGACGGGCTGCGTGCTGGAGCCCCTCGACGACCGCGTCCACGCGCCCGCGACGCCGAAGCCGCGGCGGCCCGGCGACGACTTCGACGTCTTCGCCATGTCGGGCGTCTGCAGCCGCTCCCGGGCCCTCGCCGATGCGATCATCAAGATCGCGCGGCCTTAATCTAGGCCCCGGCTCGACAGCCAGTCGCGGAACGGCGCGCGCGGCCCGGCGCAGAGCGCGGCGAACGCCGCGCGCCGCTCCCCGTCGTCCGCGGCGCGCTTGAGCGCCTCGTAGGGCGCCGCCGCGTCGACGGCGGCGCCCAGGGCGCCGCAGAGCGCGACGTAGCGGCCCCGGGCCGCGCGGCGGCAGAGCGCGGAGGGCGCGCCGTCGGCGGCGACGCCCGCGGCGCCGTCGAGGTCCTCGGGCGCCTCGCCCGACGTCCACGCCACGCAGCCCCGCCCCAGGAAATCCGCGCCGACGCCGCCCAGGTACACGCCCTCGTCGCAGGGGATCGCCGTGCCCATGAGCGCCGGGTGCCTCTCGAGGAACGGCACGCGGCAGCAGAACGCGCGCCGCGCGTGCTCGAAGGAGAACTTGCGGCCCACGACCACGCCGCCGAGCGGGATCCGCACGAAGCGCGACAGCAGGGCGCCCTCGAGGCCCAGGGCGGCCCAGCGCGCGACCTTGTCGCTGCAGCAGTGGGGCCGCAGGACGTCGCCGTCGACCGCGCAGCATCCGCCCGGCGCGTCGCCGCCTTCCGGCCGCGCGTCGTCGGGCCGCCGCTTGCCGAGGAGCGCCACCTGGCCCGGCGCCATCACATGGAAGGGCGCGTGGGGTTCGAGCGGCGGGCCGTCGCCCAGCTCTTCCCGGAAGACCTCGCGCTTCGTCTTCGCCCATTTCCGGATCGTGCTGTTGCCGCAGGGCGCGCTGCTGCAGTAGAGGTAGAACGCGACGCCCGCGCGTAACACAAAACTCCCGTCGCTGCGCCGCTCGAAGAAGTCGCCGCCGCCGCGGCCGAGCGCGGCGGCGACGTAGCGGCGGAACGCGCGCACGGCCAGGACCTCCGCGTGGCAATCCCGCAGGACCTCGCCGCGGGCGTCGTCGGCGACGGCGCTCCGCCGCGCGACCTTCGTGCCCGCGCCCAGCGCCAGGCAGGCGCACCGGGGCCCGACGGCCGCGACGATCGCCGCGACGCAGGTCTGGCCGGGCAGCTTCGAGGCGTCGAGCGCGCGCCACTCCGCCAGCGCCGATCGCGCGACGTTGTCCGCGAGCGCGCACGTCGACGCGGACCGGCGCTTTTCCGCGTGGCGCACGTTCGCCGGCGGCGCGCTGCACGCCTGCGGCTCGGTCGTGCCGCTCTCCATCGATGCCATCTCGATCGTCAACATCGGCAAGATGAGCTTCAACCAGACGAAGTACCAGACGCGCTCGGCACCTGCGCCCGACTGCTGCGGCCGTGCTCTCGATCGTCAACCTGCGGTGCACGGCGTGCTTCAACGTACGAGTCGCGCAGGCAAAGATCGGGTTACGCCCCCCCCTCACGCCGCCCCGACGATGGCGCGGTCCTCGGGCGAGAGCGCGGCCTTGGTCGAGACGTCGTCCTCGGCGGGCGGCGGCGCGTCGTCGCCGCGGTCCTCGGGCGGGAGCGTCGACGGGTGGCGCTCGTCGCCCGCGCGCGGTGGCTTGCGCGGCGACGCGGCGACGGCCGGCGGCGCCGGCGCGGCGGCCGCGGCCGCGAGCGCCGGGTTCAGGCTCACGCCCTCGAGGAGCGCCGCGAGCGTGCCGTGGTTCTTGCCCCGCGCGAGGTAGGCGGCCGTCGCCCCGTGGTTGTCCGCGTGCGCCGGGTCCGCGCCCGCCGCGAGCAGGAGCCGGCACAAATCGTCGCGGCCGGCGTAGGCCGCGGCCATGAGCGCGGTCTCGCCGCCCGCGGCCGCGCGGACGTGCGCGGCGTCCGCGCCGTTCGCTAGGAGCGCCTCGAGGGGCGCGAAGTCCTTGGACTTGAACGCGTCCCAGATCGCGCGGTCCATGCGCTTCTCGAGCACGCGCTTCTGCTCCGCCGCGTGCGCCTCGGGCTCGACGGCCGCGGGCGCGCGGCGGCGCCGGCGGCGCCGTCGCCGGCGCCGGCGCCGGGCGCCGCGTCCGGCGCGTCGGCGAAGCGCGCGGACTTGCGCGACGACGACGACGCCTTCTTCAGCGCCGACCGCGGCGGCGGGCCCCGGGGCGTGAGCGGCGCGAGCGGCGCGGCGGATTCGCCGTCGTCGAACGTCGCCAGGGGCCGCGGCGCGGGCTCGGCCTTGACGCGCTTCGCGGGCGGCTCGTCGCTCGTCAGGTCCACGACGTCGCGCGGCGCGCGCGCCTCCTCCGCGCTCCGCTCCCCCGTGACGACGACGTCGTCGTCGTCGTCGCGCTCCGCGGGCTCGCGCGGCGGCGGTTCCTCGGCGCGCGGCGCGGCCTCGGCGCGCGGCCGCTTCTCGCGCCTGCGACGGTACGATGGAGACGCGCGTTTCGGATGCGCCTGGACGCGGGCCGCGCGCGGCGTCGCGAGCTGCCGGTCCACGGACGCGAGCCACGCGCCGAGCCTCGCCTGCGAGCGCGGAAACGCCTCGACGTTGCTTTCAGAGATTTCGATGCGGCGTGGCGCGAGGGCCCATGGAGATTTGGCGTGGCGCGAGGGCCCATGGAGATTTGGCGTGGCGCGACGGCCCATGAAGACTTGTGTGGCTTTTGTGCGGTGCGACAGCCCGAGGGACGTCGTGCACTCGTGATTCCGCGATGCCGCGACGTAACGCGACGGCCGCGGAAACGGCGCGGCGACGGCCCTCGTCTTTTTTGTGTCGGCAAGCGAAGGCAGGTTCGATGAAGCGAGCGCCGGAAGGAAGGAACGGCGGCGGCTCGCCGCCGCCGGGGAAACGGACGTTTCCGCGGCGACGGAGCGCGCGCCGCGTCTTTTTCCGCGGGCTGTGTTCGCTGTTTCGTCGGCAAGAGAGAGAGAAGCCGCGTCGTCCAAGCCGCGGAAGCAGGCCAGGGCGGAAGCAGCGGCGCCGCCTCGTCGCTGTCGCCGCGAAAGCCGGCGTCCTGCCGCCCGCGAGTCCATCTGGATGGTCCGACGACGACCCGATCCGCGACGAGGGCCTCGGAGACGCGCCTGCCCCCCGTGCCCAGCCGTCGCCGCGACGACCCGGGTCTCCAGGGGAGCTCCGGGCCGCCTGGGTGCGGACCCCTGACCGGTCCCCGAAGAGCCGCCGCGGCGCTCCCCGCCATCGCGGCCTCCTCGGCCTCCGCCGACGCCGCGCGCGCGCGCCGCCGCCCTCGCAACCGCCGCCCTCGCAACCGCCGACCACCGACGACCACCGACCGCGGAGCGCGACGCGCGCCGACCGACGAAAAACGAGCGAACGGACGGACGCGGGCGCGGCACCTTCTGCTTCGACGTCGCGGCGTCGAGGCGCTTCGCGGCGCGGATGACGCGGCCGAGCACGCGGAGCGCGTCGTCGCGGTCGCCGTCGCCGAGCTTGCCGCGGTCCGCGTCGCCGACGGACTCCGGGCCCAGCGCTTGGACCTGTGTGGAAATCAACCACTGGTTTGGGGGGTCCCCATCAAACTTCAGCACTCTCTATCTCAATCAAATCCAGGTCGATTCGGCTGATTTTTGGACGGATCGATTGCTCTCGTCGAGCTCTCGAAGCACAGCGAAAGAGTCTGGTCCGAACCGTTCGATTACGCGCCCATTGAAGTCGGGTTGAAGATTTGAGTTCCACGCGGGCTCGCACCGCGTTGTAGAGCGCCGCGGCCGTCTTCGGGTTCCGGTAGGGGTCCGGCCGCGGCGGCGCGCCGGGCCGGTCGCCCTCGGGCCGCGCGGCGAGGCGCGCGTCGACCTAGGCGGCGGGGGTTTCGCGGGACAAGAGGGGGTTTCGCGAGGGAGACGCGGCGGTGCGGACGGCGCGGATCGCCGCGAAGCTGTCGGTCCGCGCGAGGGCCGCGGCGCGCTTGAGGGCGTCGTCCTCGACGTGGCAGGCGGCCTGGAGCAGCCCGTCGGCGCGCTGAACGGCGCGCTGCCAGAAGGGCGTCGCGCGGAGCGCCGCGGAGCACCGCTGCGTCTGCGGCGGCGGCCGCCGCGGCGCGTCCGCTAGCAGGAGCGTGGACCGCAGGTGGCCCAGGAGCTGGCGGTCGACGAGCACGAAGGTGTCCTCGGCCTTGCGCACGCCCGGCGAGGCGTGGAGCTGGAAGAGGGGGCCGCACGCGTTCAGCACCGAGAAGAGGCCCCCGTGGACGTTGAGGTGGTCCTTGCCGCCGGCGCTGAGCCCGACGAGCGCGCGGCGCGCGCAGCAGGCCTCGTGGGTCCGGCTCGACGCGCGCGCCTCGCGGCCCGCCTCGACGCCGTCGAAGGCGCTGCCGTGGTCGCTCGGCGTCCGGGGGAGGCTCGCCGTCGCCGCGAGCTCGGACAGGACGCCGTTGTGGAGCGCGAGCGGCGGCAGCGGCGGCGCCGGCGGCGCCGCGGGCGCCGCGCGGAAGGCCGCGCGGGGCGGCGCGCGGAAGCCGCCGCGGGCCGCCGGCGCCGCGGCGAAGCCCCGCGGCGCCGCGGGCGGGACGCCGCCGGGCGGCGCGGACGAGAAGTTCGAGAAGCCGCCGCGCCGCGACGGCGCGGGCGGCGGCGGCGGGGGCGCGGCGACGGCGGCCGCGACCTGCTCCTGGGCCGACAGGCGCACGGCGTCGGGGCCGTACTTCCTCGCCAGCTGCTCCCAGAGCACCTCCTCGCGGTCGCCGAAGGACGCGACGATGTTGTCGACGTTGCCGATGTTCTCGGGATTCCAGCGCGCGTAGAAGCGCCGCACGCGCTCGCGCAGGGAGTCCATCGCTAGATTTACGGGGGGTCGGCCCGCGCCCCGGGGCGGGCGCGCGACGACGACGCGCGCTCCTGGTCTGCGGCCGGGCCTGCAAGCGAGCGACAGTGAGTAGATGTTGCCTTTCGCCCAAGGATACAAGGCTGCCTCGGCGGGCGCTACTCAACGTGCTGGTGCCGGTCCGCGCTCCTCCGTGGTCGCGGGACGCGGCCCGGAGCGCCGGTGGCGCCATGGTGGCGATCAAGTCGTCGTCGATGAGCGCGCTCACGGCGCCGCCCGGGTCGAAAAAGAAGCACACCAAGGGCATGCTCCTGGAACCCATCGAGAATCAGGGCGGCGCGAAGAGCTCGAAGCGGCCCATGTTCACGAAGAAGGACCTCACGGAGGCCGTGCGGCGCCTGACGCCCGGGGCGGGGACGACGGACCTCACGCACGGCGCGCCCTACAACACGACGTCCGTGGAGGCGTCGACGCGGCGCGGCGGGTCGAGCTCGTCGATGACGCCGCTCGCGCTCATGGAGTGGGGCGTCAACTTCAACGCGCGCAAGTTCAACGAGCTGCGCACGTCGGCGGACCGCAAGGCCGCGGCGCTCAAGGCGCGCCTCGACCAGCTGCGGGCCCTCAAGATGGAGCAGGAGTCGCTCGAGAAGATGCTCTCGCCCGACTCGCCCGACGCGACGAAGATCGACGTGCTGCTCACGGCGATCCAGGCCGTCAACGACGAGACGGACCGGCGCCTCCACTACCGGCGCCAGCTCGAGCACATACTCCGACGCCTCCAGAAGAACCAGGTGACCTTCGACAGCCACCTCTCGAACATGGACGAGGCCAGGACCGCGGCGCTCCGGGAGCACAAGGACATGAAGGCCATGACGCGGACCATCGAGGCGGGCCACACGCAGGCCGTCCTCGAGCTCGCCGAGGCCCAGCGCCTCGTCGCCGTGGAGAAGGGCGAGCGCCACCGGGCCATGGAGACGCGGAAGACGGAGGCCGAACAGGCGAGCCGCATGGACGCGTGGCGCAAGAAGCGCGAGATCGCGCGGCGCGAGTTCGCGAGCGAGCTCCGCGGCGACCTGAGCCAGGAGGAGGAGGTGCTGCTCCAGGCGCGTTTGACGTCCCAGAAGGCGAATTTGGCGACGCTCCGGTCCGACCACGAGAAGCTGCAGCGCGAGGCGAACTCGCTCGAGTCGGCCTTCGTCGCCGTGCGCCAGGCCACGGGCGTCAACTCGCTCGACGAGGTCGTCGAGAAGTTCCTGGGCCAGCAGGGCAACCGCCGCGCGCTCCTCCAGGAGAAGCGCGAGGCCGAGGAACGGCTCGCGAACGCGAAGCGCGCCAAGGAGGAGATCGAGAACCGCTTCAGCGAACTCAAGGCCTCGGGCATCGGGTCCACGGAGATGAACCGCGAGATCGCCGAGCAGCTCGAGCGCGAGATCGCCGCCGCGCGCGTGGAGCTCAAGGCGTCGAACGCGGGCTGCGAGCGCCTCGAGGGCGTCCTCGTCGCGCTCCGCCAGGGCGCCGTGGGCCTCTACCAGCGGCTCCGGCCCTTCGGCCACCTCCTCGAGGGCGAGGGCGCCCTGCCGACGGCGGCCATGCTGCCCGGGGCCGTGCCGCCGTCCGCCGTCGCGTCCGCCGGCGGCGCGGGGCCCGAGGCGCCGACGATCGACTCCATCGACGCGATCCACCTCTCGGAGATCATGCTCTCGAAGATGGTCGAGATCATCTCGGGCGGCGAGCACGGCGCGGGCACGTCGGGCATCATGAACCTCCACGACTCGTCCGGCCCGACCGCGGACGACTTGGACGACGACGAGTCGACGGCCGAGGACTCGCTGCCCCACCCGACGAACAACATCCGCGTGCGGTCCGAGGCCCAGCAGAAGGAGCTCGACCGCAAGATCAACGAGAAGTCGGGCTCCTTCTTCATCACCGCGGGCGGCGACGACGACGAGGAGGACCGCGCCGAGGAAGCCAAGGACGACGAGGACGAGGGCGAGGACGGCGTCGGCCTCGCCGTGGGCCTGAGCGACGCCCAGGTCGCCGAGGCCCTCGACGACATGGTGCCCTCGCGCACCTTCCTCAAGCTCTCGAGCAGCCGCCAGCACCAGGAGCAGATCCGCCGCAACGAGCAGGACGCGCGGAAGAAGCGCATGCTCGAGCGCATCGAGATGGCCGAGGGCGCCGAGCGCGCCCAGATGTCGTCGCGCGCCGCGCGCAAGAAGGCGCAGACGGAGGCGAACAACCGCCTCTCGAAGATGGTCAAGCAGGGGCAGCCGCCGCCGCTCTCCAAGACCAAGGACAGCGCCATCGAGCGGTCCATGATGTTCCTCAAGCAGGTGCCCGAGCTGCTCTAGGGCGCGCGCACGGGCTAAGGCGCGGGTTCTCTGTCTTAACACAGGAACATCCCCGCGAGCGCGGCGCCGACGTCGCCGTCGTCGCCGGCGCCGGCGCCGCGCGCCGCCGCGCGCAGCGCGAGCTCCCTGAGCTCGTCGACGAGGGACCGCGTCGTCCGGTGCGCGCGGCGCACGCAGGTCCCGAAGAGCTCGGGGAAGACCGCGTCCCGGAGGCGCCGCGTCGCGGGCGCGAGGAGCTCGAACTCGAAGCGCGCGTCGACGGCCGGCGACCGCCGGAGCGCGCGCCGGAGCGCCGCGAGGGTCCGCCGCTCGAGGGCCCGGGGGACCCACATGGCGATCGTGAAGACGACGATGCCGTCGCCCACCGACGACGCGAGGAGCCACGCCGTCGACTTGGCGACCTTCGCGAGGAAGACGCGGAGGAGCCGCGCGCAGCGGCCGCGGCGCTCGCAGCCGACGTCGGCGCGCACGACCTGCACGGCGTGCATGCCGCCGCAGGCGAGGTACGCCGCGCCGTCGGGCGTCCCGGGCGCCTCGCAGCCGAGGCCCACGCGGACGACGAGGTCGCGCTCGGCGACGATCGCGGACGTCTGAGGCAGGAGGTGGGCGAGCGCGACGGTTTCGCTGACGGCGCAGGACGCGTCGCTGTTGAGGGAGTGCCTTTCTTGTAAAAGGAGCTCTTTGCAGCGCGCGCCTTCATCGGTGACGATGCGCTGCCGGAGGTGGATCCGTGGACCAGGGCGGAAGACAGCGTTTCGCACCGCCGCGGCCTCGTATGCGATGGTGGGCAGCATGTTTCAGGATGTCGCGAGCGGTCATGGTGGCTTTGCGTTCGGATTAGCGCTGCATGCTTGCGTCGGGTAGCGCTCGGGCAGCGCGCGGGCAGCGTTCGGATAGCGTCGGGCGCCGCGTCGGTCGAGGAACGCGCTCGCAAATTGGGGTAACACTCCGCGGACCTGCCTCCCCTCCCCGGACGGACGCAGTCGGGCGCGCATCCCCTTCAATAACTAGTCCAACACAAACCTTGCACGGCACTTCCCCCGCAGCGCACGAGCATGGGGGGCTGCTTGCGCGGCTGTCTCGCGCTCGCCGCCCTCGTCGCGTCCACGACCGATGTCCGCGTCGCGACCTGGCAGAACGACGCGCGCGCCGCGATCTCGCTGACCTTCGACGACGGCAAGGTCGCGTCCCTCGGCGCCGGCGGCGACCTGCTCGACGCCCACGGCCTCCCCGGCACGTTCTACGTGTCGTCGGGCTACCTCGACGGGTCGTCGCCGCACGTCGTCGCCGGCGGCGCGGACCCGGCGGTGGCGCGCGCCCTCGCGCGGCGGCGCCTCGCCGGCGGCCACGAGGTCGGCTGCCACGCGGCGACGCACGCGAGGCCGCTCCGCGACGAGACGCTCGCCAACGCCACGATGGAGCTGGCGGCCTGCGACGCGGCCTTTGCGGCGCTCTTCGGCGACCACCCGCGGGCGGCGGCGACCATGGCCTACCCCTGGGGCGCCGGCGACGGCGACCCGGGCGTCCGCGCGGCCGCGCTCCGGTACCACGTCGCCGCGCGGGGCGTCCGCTACCACCTCGCGCCGGCGGCGGGCGTCGACCGCGCGGCCGTGCCCTGCGTCGTCGAGGGCCGCGACACGGGCCTCGACGAGATGGCGTCGCGCGTGGACCGGGCCGTCGAGGAGCGCGCCTGGTTGTGCACCTTCAACCACGGCGTCGACCGGCGCGGCGGCGGGCCCTTCGCCGCGGACCGGGCCTACTCGGCGCCGGACCGCGGGAACCTGACGCGCCACTACGCGGCGTTGGCGCGGCGGCGCGACGCCGGCGAGGTCTACGTCGCGCCGCTCTGCGACGTGCTGGCCTACGCCGCGGTGCGCGCGACCGCGTTCGTCGAGCGCGTCGAGGAGACGGCGGACGCGCTTGAGGCGTCGCTCGTCGCGCCGCTCGTCTGTGCGACGGACGCCGAGCGGCGGCGCTGGCGCGACGTGTCCGTCGACCTCACGGTCGTCGCGGCGCTCGACTGGGCGGACGCCGACGTTTTCGTCGACGGCCGCAAGGCGGCGGCCACGCGGACGGCGGCGGGCTGGGCCGCGAGCGCGCCCGTGGCGCCCTGCGCCGGCGCGCGGCGCGCGTTCGCCTGGCGCCGGCGGCCGCCGCCGCCGGCCGCGTCGGCCGAGGCCCTCGCGTCGGACGTGCTCCGGCTCTTGGGCTTCCAAGAACCCGACGAGCTCCGGCGCCTCCGCGACGAGCTCGTGGCCGCGGGCGCGCCGCTGCCGCTCCACGAGCTCCGCGCGACGCCGCTCTGGCGCGCGGGCGGCCCGCTGCTGCCCGAGCTGCTGCGGGAGGCGCTTTTTTTAGCAAAAGTCGACCGGTCGAGCGGCGACCTCGGCCGGCGCATCGTGACGACGCGCGGCGCGCCCATCGAGCGCGCGTCCCTCGACGCCTGGGTCGCCGCGACGGCCCCGAACGTCGACGCGCCCCGGGACTGCGTGGAGTGGGGCAGCGGCCACGCGCGGTACCTCGACCACTTCCGCTGCCGCTCGACGCACGTCTTCGAGTACGCGAAGGAGCCCGCCTGCGGTGGAAATATTGGGCTCTTCGGGACCATGCGCTGCGGCGACCTCGAGGACCCGGCGACGGTGCCCGAGGCGGCCTACGACCTCGTCCTCTGCTTCCACGTCTTCAACATGCTCCCCGGAGCGTCGCCGAAGGTCCCGGCCGCGGCGCTCGCGCGCCTGCTGCGCCGGGGCGGCTCGCTCCTCTGGGCCGCGCCGTCGGCCGTGCCGTCCTTCACGGCGCTCCCGGACACGCTGCGCTTCACGCTGCGGGGCGCGACGGCGCTCTTCGCGGACGCGCTGTGCGTCGTCGACGCGGCGCCGTCGTCCGACGCCGCGACGACGCTCGCGGCCCTCGCGGGCTTCAGCGCCGAGGACGTGCCGCGCCGGGGGCCGCCGGACGCGGGCCTGTCGAGCATGGTCTACCTCTGGGCCGTGAAGCCCGCCGACTCGGGCTTCCGCGGCTGCGACGGCTACGCCGCCGGCGACGCGGCGGCGCCGGCCCCCGCGGGCGCCCCCGCGCCGCCGGTCACGGCGAGCTGCGCGGACCGGCCCCGCGCGCTCCGGGCGCTGTCGTCGGCGCTCGGCGCCGGCCTGGACCCGGACGCGGCGGCCGCCGCGCGGCGGCGGCTCGTCGACGATCGGACGTGTAGTAACGCGGCGCCATGATCGTACGTCCGATATAGCTCTCTTAGTGCGCGGGCGCCTCGGGCCCCGCCCCCTCGTCCCAGACCTTGGCCGGCGGCCACAGGTCCCGGCCCCGCTTGAACGCGCGGAGCTCGTCCAGGCTCCGGAGCACGACGCCGCCGGCCGGCGCGGCGTCGGCCGGCGCGTCCGCGGCGAGGTCCGGCGAGTAGACGCGGGACCGGAAGAGGCGCCGCTGCGGCGCGCCGGGGAGCACGTGCGCCTCGAGCACGCGGACGAGGTCCTCGCGCGACACGTCGCGGAGCTGCGCCGCGCGCGTCGCCACGTGGCTGAACTTGCGCCGCCCGGACGAGATCTCGTGCCAGTCCCGCGACACGACGTCGCGCAGGCTCGCGGGCCGCTGGAGGATCTCCGTCGCCAGGCCCTCGCGCTTCAGCGCCAGGTCCGCGTCGCTCAGGTCCCGGAGCTCCTGGGCGAAGACCGCCAACCACGCCTCCACCCTGTCCTCCAGCTCGGGAGGGCTCTTGCCCGTCGCCGACTGGAGCAAACACGTAAAGCCGATGACGCCGCCCGAGCTATCGAGACCCGCCGACGCGATGTAGCCGAGCTGCTCCACCGTGCGCAGGCGGTTGAACGCGGACGCCTGCGCGAGGCGGCCGAGTAAGGTCGCCGCGGCGTCCCGCTTCGCCGCGGACGGCCAGCCCGCGTCGACGGCGTCGTCGTCGTCGCCGCTGCGGCCCAGCTGCCAGTACATCTCGACGGCGTTGTTCGGGTCCGACGGCTCCGCGGCCTTGGCGTTGGGCTCGCCCCGGAACCGCGTGCCGCTCGCCTCGCCCTCGCGGAGCGCCCGCAGCTCGACGGCGACGCCGAAGTCGCCGCGGGGGAGCCGCAGCGCGGGGTGCGGCGCCAGGGGTTCCGTGGGCTCCCCCGGGTCCGCGACGGCCGCCAGCGCCGCGGCCGCGTACGCGCGCGCGCCGGCGTCGTCGGCGTTGCCTGGGCAGCACAAGAGTGATTCAACGTCGCTTCAACGTGAGTGTTCCGCGCGCGCGCGTGACGGAAAAAGCATCCACGCTTCGAGACCGTTCCAAGAGATGATCGCTCGTCCAAAAATCAGCCAAAACGAGTGGAAAACGGCCGAGATAGGAGCCTTTGAAGTTGGGAATTTCGCTCTCTTGTGCTGCCCTGGGCGTTGCCCGCGACGTAGATCTCGAGGGACCCGTCGCGCAGCCGCGCCCGCGCGATGGCCGCGGCGACCTCCATGGTCAAGGAGTCGTCCGCCAACGCGGCGCCCAGCGCGTCGACGTCCAGCGCGTCCGCGTCGCCGTCCATGGCGTAGCGCGACCACGTCGTCACGAGCGACGACGGCTCGTCGCGCGTCGAATCGGAGCACCGCCGCGCGAGCTCCTCCTTCTCCGACTCGAAGAGCTTGCGCTCCGCGTCCGTGAAGTCGGACTTGGCGACGAGCTCCCGGAGCTTCGTCGCCGCGAGCTCGAGCGCGTCGCGCGCCTTGTCGGAAAATCCCGACGACCGGAGCACGAAGCCCGCGCGCGACGCGTCCACGGAGAACGACAGCCCCGCGAGCGACGCGTCGTAGGCCTCGTGGTTCATGAGCGCGAAGACCGTGTTGCCGATGGCCTTGGTCGCCGCGAGCGACCGCGCCGTGTGCTTCTCGGCCTCGCGGAAGAGCGCCGCGACCATGACCTTGGGCACCTTGGGCACCGTCGGCGGCGCGTCGGCGAGGTCCGCGCGGCGCCAGACCGTGGCCCGGCCCGTGCCCGGCAGGCGGTAGACGCCCGCGCGGTCGTCCGGGTCGTCGACGAGCGACAGGTCCCCGGCGACGTAGCGGTTCGGCTTCGGCAACGCGAGGCGGGAGTCCCCCGCGTCCGACGCGCGCGCCCAGCGCGCCAAGACGTCGTCGCCCGTGCGGTCCGACCGGTACGTCGCGCCGTGCCAGGGCTCCCGCGTCCAGCCGCCGTCCGTCGCGTGCTTGCGAGCGTCGAAGACCACGGAATTCTCCGGCGTCAGCGCGTCCAAGACGACCCGCACGGCCTCTTCGTCGAACGTGCCCGCGAGCGACGGGCCGCTCAGCGGCTGCGTGGGGTGGTCCCAGAGCGCGTCGGCCAGATCCGACGCCGTGTCCGCCGCGCTCCGCTTCTCCGCGAAGCGGAAGCGCGCGCCGTGGAGCGCCTGGAGTTCGTCGGACAGCGTCCGCAGCGCTTCCACCGGCGCGGACCGCACGGTGCCGACCCAGGCCCAGATGAGGTCCAGCACGTCGTCGACGCGCGCCTCCCCGAGCTCCGTGAGGTCCACGGAGAGTTCGAAGAGCTGCGCGTCGTCGAATTTCGCGGCCGTCCCGCAGCTCAGCGCGTCGACCCAGCCGCGGTCGCGCAGAAGCGCGTGCAGACTCTCCTCGCCCTCGTGGCCGAGCAGGTGGGACACGAAGAGCTCGGGCGTCGCGCCGCGTTCGTGCAGCGTGGACCGCGCGGGCAGCGGCCAGAGCAGCTGCAAAGAGCGCCAGTCGCGCACGGGCACGACCTTGACGACCCGCGGGACCTCCTCGCTCTCGGCGGCCCAGGGCGTGACCCGCGGCGCCTTGGCCCGGCCCGCGCCCGACGACGGGATGGCCCCGAAGCGGCCGTCGCCGGCGACGAGCTTTTCGAGCTCGTCGAGCGACTCCCTGCCGACGACGGCCAAACGCATCTTGTCCCCCACGTAGTGCTCCGCGTTCCAGCGCTTCAGCTCGTCGTGGAGGCCCCGCTCGCCGTTCAGCGTGTCCAGCGACCCCGTGGAGAAGCGCGAGAACGGGTGCGCGCCGTTCGCCGTCGCCTTGAGGACCGAAAGCATGCGCCAGCCGTCGTCCTGGAGCGCCATGGCGTACTCCGAATCGACGGCCTTGACCTCCCGCTCGACGCAGTCCAGACTCAGCAGCGGATCCACGAAGAACTGGGCCAGGCGGTCCAGCGCGCCGTCGAGCGCGCCCGCGTTCACGTTCAAATAGTAGCACGTCTCCTCGTCGGCGGTCCACGCGTTCGAGCCGCCGCCGTGGGCGTTGAGGTAGGCCTCGTACTCGTCCTCGTCGGGGTACTTGCGCGTGCCGAGGAAGAGCATGTGCTCGTGGAAGTGCGCGAGCCCGAGCCGCGTGTCGTCGAAGCTGCCGGCCTTGACGGACAGCGCCGCGCCGGCCTCGTCCGCGTCGCCGTCGGACACCAGCAGCGCCTCGACGCCGTTGGCGAGGCGCACGAGGCGGTACCGGCGCCGGTCCACGGCCGGCCGCTCGATGTCGGCGTCGTCGAGGACGATTTCCACGGCCTCGCTGATCGTCGACGTGCGCAGGGCCGTCCTGACGCTGCGCACGACGCTGCCGACGCCGGTGCGGCGGGGGCCCAGGGCGCTCGGCTTCAAACTCAGCGTGGCGCTCACGACCAGCGCCAGGAGCGCGACTGCGGCCATCCTTGCCGGCCGAGCTGGCGGAGACGATCAGCACGCGCGAGAGGACAAGTGCGGGGTATCGGGGCAAGCAGCCGATCGTGCCGTAGATTGGCGGACGATGGGGCGGGCAGCGTCCTACGAGCCCCTCGCCGGGTCGCGGTCCCGCATGGACCGCATCCTCGCGATGGCGGCCGTGTCCACGGCGCTCTGCGGCGCGGCGTACCTCAGCGTCGGCTTCGTCAACGGCCGCAGCCCGCGCTGGATCGACGCCCTCGGCGACGCGGCCTTCGAGGCCGACGCCGGCGGCCACGCCATGCTCACGAAGCGCGCGGCCTGGGCCCACCTCCAGGAGACGTCCTACGACGTCACGTGCAGTGGCGTCACCTACGCCTACTGCGGCATGGCGACGTGCCGCTTGAATGGGGACGGCGCGACGGCGTCCTGCGGCTGCAAGCGCGAGCGCGACGCCGAGGGCCGCCTCTTCCTCCACGCCAACTCGGCCTACCTCGTCTACAGCGAGACCGTGCGGCGGGCGCTGTACGAGGACGTCGTCGAGGGGCGGCGCCACCGCTTCCGGGAACGTTTGTGCGCCGCGGTCGCCGACGGCTCTTTGTGGTCCGACGCGGGCTTCAACGTGTCCTACGGCAGCTTCGCGGACCCCTCCGGCAACTACTGGGCCCAGCACGACATCGGCTGCTCCGAGAGCGGCGACTTCCACCTCGCGGACTGCGAGGGCGCGCCCTGCGACTTCAAGGACTTCGACGAAGTCTACGACGCGGTCTGCGCGTGCCCCTACGTCACGGCGACCATGGGCGCGACGGCGTCGACGAAGAAGATACGACGAGCGACGGCGAAGAGCTGCCGCGAGATCTCGGCGACCCACGGCGACTGCGCGCTCCAGGAGACGCTCGAGCCCGGCGAGCTCATGGCCGACTACGACGCCATGGAGACGCTGCGCGGGTACCTCGCCGACGCCCGCTTCCGGCGGGGCGGCACGGCGTGCAAGACCTACGACGACTACTCCTACTCGTACTCGTAATTAGCGGGCGGGTCTTTCTTCAGGGGAGGTTGCCGAGCTTCGCGGCCCGTCGCTTCTGCGACGCGGCGATGGCGTCGGCGAGGGACCCGCCGCCGCCGCCGCCCGCCGGTTTCGGCGCCGGCGGCGGCGCCGCGGCCTTGGGCTTGGCCTTTTTCAGCTGCTTGCCCGCGGCGATCTGCGCCATGAGGTCCATGCCCCCCCCCGCCGCGGGCTTCGGCGCCGGCGGGGCCGTGGACTTCTTCTTCAGCTTCTTCCCCGCCTGGATCTGCGACAGCAGGTCGCCGCCGCCGCCCGCCGGCGCGGCGGCCTTCTTCGTCGGCGGCGGGATCGACACCTTCTTCGGCGCGGGCGACGCCACCGACGCGCCGAAGAGCAGCGCGGGATCCAGGCCCTCGGCGCGCATCTTCTGCTCCACGGCGCCCTGGGGCAGGTGCATCTTGAGCATCATGTTGAATTTCTTCAGCTTCGGGTCGTCCGCGGCGCCGGGCTTGACGGCCGCGGCCGCGGGCGCCGGCGGCGCCGCGGGCGCGCCGCCGCCGCCGCCGCCGCCGCCGCCGGAGCCGCCGGAGCCGGCGCCGAAGAGGAGGGCCGGGTCGACGCCCTCGGCGCGCATCTTCTGCTCGACGGCGCCCTGGGGCAGGTGCATCTTGAGCATCATCTCGTACTTCTTGAGCTTCGGATCGCCGCCGCTCGGCGCGGGCGGCGGCGCGGGCGCGGGCGCGGCGCGCGGCGCGGGCGGCGGCGCCGGCGCGGCGGCGACCGCGGGCGCGGCGGAAACGACCGGCGGCGGCGGCGGCGCGGCGGCCTGCTTGTGGCCGAGGTCGAGCGTCCGCTGCGACGCGGCCGTCGCCTTCGCTTTCGACGTGTTCGTGATGCACCACTGGATGGACGCGCGCCACTCGTCGAACTGGGCCTGGTCCGGCGCCCGCAGCGCGAAGCCGTCCTTCTTGGGCTTGCGCGTCTCGCCGTCGATGACGAGCTCGAGGCTAAAGTAGTACGCCTCCGCGGCGTCGGAGCCCTTGCCGTGCTTGCCCCGGAAGGTCTTCGCGCCGCCGTCGCCGAACTTCGAGAGGCCGCCCAAGAAGACGGAGCCCTTCTGCACCTTCAGCGTCTCGTCGGAGAAGTACTTGAGCTCCGAGCGCTTGAGGTCCAACACGAAGTGGCGGTACTGCCAGTTCCGCCGCCCGAAGAGGGAGCTGCCGCCGCCCTTCTTGAGCAGGACGCCCCGCGTCCGCAGGCGCGCGCCGTCTTTGGCGTCCTCGAAGCAGTCGGCCTCGGCGACGCCCGCGCCCGGGAAGTCGCCCCTCTTCGGCGGCGGCGTCGCGGCCGCGGCCGGGCTCGGCGGCTCGTCGGCGGCGGCCGCGTCCGCGGCGCCGTAGATGTCGCCGAGCTCGGGCTCCGGGTCCGCGACCTCCTCGACGCTCCAGCCCGTGGCGCCCGTGCGCGTGTTGCTGTAGTACGTGTAGCCCGAGCTCTCGTCGTAGCCGCTGACGACGCCGTCGGGCAGGCTCTCCGCGGCGCCGCCGACCTCCTCCCGGCTCCAGCCCGTCGCGCCCGTGACGGAGTTGACGTAGTAGGTGTTGCCCGCGCCGTCGTCGACGGCCTGGATCGGGTCCCCGAGGAGTTCTTCCCGGGACCAGCCGGTCTGGCCCGTGCGCTGGTTGACGTAGTACTTGTTCCCGGCGCCGTCGTCGGCCTCGACGATGTCGTCGGCCATGGACGCGCGCCGAGTGGGTCCTCCGGGAGAAGACGCGGCCGACGGAGGCGGGGATCACCAATTTATGGGCTGCCCATGGCCATCGTTTCCTTCCTGTTCGAGCGCTCGGAGCGGCCGAGCGCGCCGAAACCGAAATCATCGGGCCGGGCCGGCGGCGCGCGCGCGCCGCCGCCGACGCCGACGGCGGACGCGTCTTCGCAACATCTGGAGACAGGGCTTAGACAGTGGTGGCGCTAGAGCACGGAGGGCTCGGAGAGGTAGCGGTTGCCGGCGCCCGCCGTCGGGAGCGTCCGCTTGGCCTGCGGCGGCGGCGACCGGGGGCTGCCGATGTCCGCGGCCTCGCGGGCGGACCGCGGGGGCGTGTTCGCCGCGGGCGCCGTGTTCGCCCGCCCCCGGGCCGGCGTGCCCGGGGCGCCGGGCTTCACGGAGACGACGTCGTCGGGCCCCTCGCCGACGACGGCGGAGCCGGCGTCGCGCGAGGCGCGCGACCCCGGGAGCTGGAGGGCCCCGAGGCGCGTGGCGATGGACGACGCGGGGAGGTGGACCTTGCCGTCGGCGTGCTTGCGCATGGCGCTCTCGACCATGGCGGGCAGGTCCGCGAAGTCGTCGTCGCTGTCGGTGTCGAAGTCGGACGACGCGGCGCGCTTCATGGGCGGCGCGCCGTCGCCGCCGTCGAAGGCGACGGCCCAGGGGTGGGCCTCCCAGGCCTCGGGGTCGCCGTCGCCGGACGGCCGCGGCTCCGCGTCGTCGAGGTAGCGCCGGAGGCTGCTCGCGCGGTCGCGGTCGGCCGCGCGGATGGACCCGTCGCTGTGCGCCCGGTGCCGTCGTCGGCCCGTGCCGCCGCCGCAGAAGAGGGAGCCGACGAGGTCGGGCAGCTCCTTGAGGGCCTCCGTCACCGAGCTCGAGTCGCCCTTGGACATGGTCGCTTCGCGATTCGCCGCGGGTTGGCGCGAGGCGTCGGCCGCGGCGGGGCAGCCCCGGTCGCGGCTGCCCCCCCCGGGTGCGGCTCGGCCGGGCCCCGCCGACGCGACTTAGGACGCCCGCGCCCCCGCGCGTGGAGACGCTGTTAAGACGGCTTGCTCGCGTTCCCAGCCGAGCGGCACCGAAACGCTCAGAGAGATGCAAGGTCGGCAGTGCTGCGGTGCTGCCATCTTGTGCCCCTGGCTCCTATCGCTTGATCGCAGAGCTGCCACTACCCCAGAGCATCGACTGCCGCATCGCAATCCTCGACGACCACCATGGCGACGGTCATCAGCAAGGTGAAGGTGGGCGGCGGCACGCTGACGCGCGCGTCGCACGCGTCGGCGTGCACGCAGGGCACGATGACCTTCGCCGTCTTCGTCCCCGACAGCGTCTGCGGCCCGCCGGCCGGCGGGTGGCCCGTGCTCTACTGGCTCAGTGGCCTCACGTGCACGGACGAGAACTTCTCGACCAAGGGCGGCGCCTTCGGCTTCGCCGCCAAGGAGGGCGTCGCGCTCGTCATGCCGGACACGTCGCCGCGCGGCGCGGGCGTCGCCGGCGAGGACGATTCCTACGACCTCGGCTCCGGCGCGGGCTTCTACGTCGACGCGACGGCGCCCAAGTGGGCCAAGTACCAGATGTACACCTACGTCACGAAGGAGCTCCCGGCGCTCGTGGTGGCCGAGTTCGCCATCTCGCCGACGCTCCAGAGCGTCTTCGGCCATTCCATGGGCGGCCACGGCGCGTTGACGTTCGCGATGCGCGACCCGGCCGCGTACGCGTCCGTGAGCGCCTTCGCGCCCATCACGCACCCGACGGCCGTGCCCTGGGGCCAGAAGGCCTTCGGCGAATACCTCGGCGGCGTCGAGGGCGCGCCGGACGCGTGCGACCTCGTCGAGAAAAGCGGCCCCTTCGACTTCGAGATTTTGGTCGACCAGGGCGACGCGGACACCTTCCTGACGGGCGACGTCGACCAGCTCATGCCGACCAAGTTCAAGGAGGTCTGCAAGGCCAAGAACCAGAAGCTGCGCCTGCGCACGCGCGAGGGCTACGACCACTCGTACTACTTCATCTCCTCGTTCGTGGGCGAGCACGTCGCGTTCCACGCCGCGGCCCTCCGCGCGAGGGCCCTCGCGGCCGTCGTCGACCTGCCGCCGCCGGTGCCGACGACGGCGACGTCCGTCCTCTCCCAGCTCCACAGCGCCGTCGTCGGCTGCCCCGTGATCCACCAGCCCATCACGTGCAAGGCCATGGTCGCGTGGAAGGCCAAGGAGGACCTGAAATTGGAGACCATCGTCGTCGCCCCGCCGAAGGCCGGCGAGGTCCGCGTCAAGGTCGTCGCGAACGCGCTCTGCCACACGGACGTCTACACGTGGTCCGGCCAGGACCCCGAGGGCCTGTTCCCGTCGATCTTGGGCCACGAGGCCGGCTGCATCGTCGAGGCCGTCGGCGAGGGCGTCACGTCCGTCAGGGTCGGCGACCACGTCGTCCCGGGCTACACGCCCCAGTGCAGCGAGACGAGCTGCATCTTCTGCATGAGTCCGAAGACGAACCTGTGCCCGAAGATCCGGTCGTCGCAGGGCAAGGGCGTCATGCCCGACGGCACGTCGCGCTTCTCCCTGGAGGACGGCACGGTGCTCTACCACTTCATGGGCTGCTCGACCTTCGCCGAGTACTCGGTCCTCGCGGAGATCTCCTGCGCGAAGATCGCGCCGACGATGCCGTTGTACAAGGCGTGCCTCTTCGGCTGCGGCGTCTCCACGGGCATGGGCGCCGTGCTCAACACGACGAAGGTCTACCCCGGCGCGACCGTCGCCGTCTTCGGCCTCGGCGCCGTCGGCCTGGCCGTGATCCAGGCGGCCAAGACCGTCGGCGCGCGGCGCATCATCGCCGTCGACATCAACCCCGACAAGTTCGAGCTCGCGCGACAGATCGGCGCCACGGACACGGTCGACCCCACGGCCTGCGAGAAGCCCGTGCAGCAGGTCATCGTGGGCATGACCCAGTGGGGCGTCGACTTCTCCTACGACTGCACGGGCAACGTCCAGGTCATGCGCGCGGCGCTCGAGTGCGCGCACCGCGGCTGGGGCACGTCCTGCGTCATCGGCGTCGCGGCGTCGGGCAAGGAGATCTCGACGCGGCCCTTCCAGCTCGTCACGGGCCGCACGTGGGTCGGCACGGCCTTTGGGGGCTTCAAGACGCGCACGGACGTGCCCAAGCTCGTCGACCAGCACCTCGCGGGCGAGCTGCCCATCGACCACTTCATCACGCACACGCTCCAGGGCGTCGACAAGACCATGGAGGCCATCCACATCCTCGAATCCGGCAAGTGCCTCCGCTGCGTCGTCCTCTACTAGGCTGGGTCGGGCGTCGCGCCGGGCCCGCGCGCGTTAAAGCTGCCAGAGGCGTGGCATCTCAGCGATCCGTTACTTGGGCCGCGCGCGGTGTGTGTGTGTGTGCAGGCCGCGGCCTAGTTCTTGTGGAGGAGGCCGAGCTCGAAGGCGACGCGCCGGCGCTGGAGCCGCGCGGTGATGCCGATGTCCTCGAGGGTCTCGTCGAGCTCGTCGGGGGAGAGCGTCGCGAGGAAGGCGCCGTCGCAGCCGCCGTCGACGATCGCGGCCTCGTACTGCGCGAAGTTGGGCGCGATGCTCGAGACGCGCGCGGCGACGCCCGCGGGATCGAGCGTGATGAGCGCCGCGTGGATCTGGTTCGTGCGCGGCGCGGCGACGGGCGCCGGCGGCGGCGGCGGCGGGGGCGCGGCGACGGGCGCCGCGGCGGCCGGCAACGGCGGCGGCGGCGGCGGCGGCGGCGGCGGCGGCGGCGGCGGCGCGGACGCCGCGGGCGCCGCGGGCGGCCGGGGCGCGGCGACGGGCGGCGGCGGCGGCGGCGGCGGCGGCGGCGCGGCCGCGGCGGGCGCCGCCGGGGGCTTGGGCGCCGCCGGCGGCGCGGCGACGGCGGCGGGCGCCGCCGGACGCGCCGGGCGGCCGTCGTCGGCCGTCGCCTCGGCGACGAAGACGTTCTTCGCCTGCCCCAGCATGTCCTTGAGCGCGAAGACGAACTGGTCCGGCGGCTCGTCGCCGTTCTGCACCTGCTGCGCGTACTGGATGAGGCCCGCGAGCGCCTTGGACACGCACTCCTTCTCGCGGGCCTCGAGCTCGACGCCCGCCACCGCGGGCTCGCGGTAGTAACTCGGGTCCGGCTCGGGCGCCATCACGGGCTCGGGCTTGGCCGGCGCCTCCCAGCGCTCGCCGGGCTTGAGCGGGTTCGCGTAGACGGAGTCGCGGAGGTCGACCTCGCCCTCCTGGTCGGGCCGCGCGCCGAACGTCCGGTCGATGACGTCGAGGGATCTGCGTCTTGCCGTGCACGGACCAGTGGCGCTCGCTGCTGTCGGCCGTGAGGTCGCTCAGGTAGCCCTCGCCCGTGTTGTAGTAGGGCGTGTAGCCCGCGGGCGCCCGCGCGAAGCGCTCCTTGATCGCGCCGCCCGTCTCGAGCTTGTCGGAGCCCGCGGCGCGCGACGCGCCGTAGTCCGCGCGCTCCGGGGGCGGCGGCGGCGGCGCCTCGAAGTTTTTGGGCGGCGGCGGGGGGCGCGTCAGCGTCGCCCCGGCGGGCGGCTCGTAGTCCTCGCCGCCCTGCATCTTCTGGATGCGCTCCGCGGCGCGCTGCGACGCCTCGAGCAGCGCCTGGCGCCGGGCCTCCCGCGCGGCGTCGTCGGACATCTTCACGACGGTGAGGGGCGCGGACCGCGGCTGGACGCTCAGGAACGCCTGCGCGGCGCCGCCGAGGAGGGCCAGGGCGACGACCACCCGGGAGTGATGCGGGCCCGTCATCGTGCGGTTCTTCACGACCTCGCAAGACCTTCAAGCCATCGACGAGAAACGTCGGCTCATATCCGCCCGTGTTGCACCAGGTATGGGCTCGATGGACGAGAATGCACCACTTGCCGAGGCAGCCCCCGTGGGCGTCGCGAAGATCGTGTGCACGCTCCTGGAGGGCCGGAGCGTCCTGTCCACGGTCGCGCACCGGCAGCCCGTGCGCGTCCAGCCCCTGCCGTCGGCGCTCTCCGCCGCCGCCGGCGCGGCCTGCGCCGTGCTCTCGTCCCTCGGCGGCGGCCTGCTCGGCGGCGACGTCGTGGAAGTCGACGTGGACGTCGGCGCCGGCGCGACGCTCTGGTTCGGGTCCCAGTCGTCGAACAAGATCTACCGCAAGAAGCGGCGGCGCGGCCCGACGCGCGTCGACGCCCGATACAGAGTCGCCGGCGGCGGCCTGCTCGTCGTCGCGCCGGACCCGACGGTGCCCTACGCGCGGTCGCGGTACCGAGGGACGACGCGGCTGGCGCTGGACGAGGACGCGCGCGCCGTCGTCGTCGAGTGGCTCGGGAGCGGCCGCGCGGCCGCGGGCGAGCGGTGGGCGTTCGACGAGTTCGCCGCCGAGGTCGCGGTGTTCCGCGGCGAGGAGTGCATCTGCGTCGACGCCGTGTCCCTCGGCGGCGGCGACGACGGCGGCGCGGACGTCGGGGGCGTGCCGCGGGACCACGTCGCGACGCTCTACTGCCGCGGATGCCCGGACGTCGCCGCGCGCGTCGCGGCGACGTCGCTCGCGCTCACCGTCGCCCGCGGCGCCCGCGCGCGCCGGGGCGGCGCCGAGGACGACGCGGCGAATCGCGTCGTCGCGTCGCTCGGCGGCGACGCGCTCCTGGGGTCGTCGGACGCGGGCGGCGGCGTCGTCGTCGCGCGCGTCGCGGCCGCCCGGGCCGAGGACGTCTACCGCATCCTCGCGGCCGTGCTCGCGCCCCTGGAGGCCGACCTCGGCTTCCGGCCCTACGCGGACCGCGTCGCGGCGACGAAGAGCCGCGGCGGCGTCGACGACGCGGCGCATCCGCCGCCGCCGCCGCCGCCGCCGCCGCCCGAGGAGTCGGCCCCGGTGCCCGAAGCGACGGCGTCGACGACGCGCCTCGCGTTCCAGCTCGCCGACGCGACGCTGCCGACGGGCGGCTTCGCGCACAGCGGCGGCCTCGAAGCCGCGTTCCAGCTCGGCGTCGTCCGCAAGGGCGACGACGCGGCCGTCGCGGCGTTCGCGCTCGCCGTCCGGTCGACGACCGCGACGCTCCACGCGCCCTTCCTCGCGGCGGCGCACGCCGCGGGGGGGGACGGCGCCGCCCTCGACGCGCTCAGCGCGCGCCTCGACGCGCTCCTCCGGTCCAACGCGCCCGCGCGCGACGCGAGCCGCCGCCTCGGCACGGCGCTCCGGCGCCTGAGCGCCGAGCTCGTCGGCCTGTCCGGGCCGCCGCGCCACGCGGCCGTCGCCTTCGGCGCGCTCGCGGCCGCCGCGGGCGTGGAGGTCGGAGTAGCGCTTCTGGCCTTCGAGCACGCGCAGGTCCGCGACGTCTTCTCCGCGGCCGTGCGCCTCGGCCTCGTCGGCCCGCTCAAAGCCGCGAAGCTCCAGTTCGACGTCGCGAAGCGGCCGCCGGCGCGGCGCCGCCCGGCCGTCGCGGACGCCGCGAACGCCGCGCCGATGCTCGACGCGATCCACTGCTGCCACGCGCAGCTCGACATGCGCCTGTTCCAGACCTAAAAATGCGGGCGAGTCGTGTGTAGACGCGCGCGCAGATGTTGCCAGCACGGTCGGGGAATTCCGACTGGCCGGAGGCGTCGGCGAGTACTATCGACCTCTATCGGAGGTACGTAGTGCGGCGCCGAGTCGCCAAAGGCAATTTTTTGCGCCGCAGGCGCGACCCGGGCGCTGGGCCCCGCGCGATATGGTCCTCTCCTCCGCCGCCTTTATCGCAGCGTTCGATGGTGATTTCCAAGGCGTCGTTGCCGCGCTTGACACGGGCACGAACGTCAATGACAGAACAGCGCCGGCGAGCGAAGACGATCCGACTTATGATAGAATGCTCGTGGTCGCGGCCCGTTTCAAACACTACGAAATAATGCGTCTTCTGCTTGAACGAGGCGCGGACCCGAACCTCCCTGATTGCGAATATTTGTGTAACACGCCTCTGATGCTAGCCGGCGACGAGCGCGCGATCGACCTGCTCGTCGCGTATGGCGCCGACGTTAATTACGCGTCAAGAACAAACGTCGAATTCGAGGATGGCCTAGGCAAGACAGCGCTCATGAGCCAAGCCGAAATGCACCGCCTCGGATGTGTACGCGCTTTACTCAGACACGGAGCCTCGTTAAGTCTTCGCGCAGATAATGGTCGGACTGCGCTCGAGACTGTACAACGCGTGCAACGTTATATGATTCATACGCATGATTTGAGAACGAGAGAAAAATATCAAGATGTCATCGACCTGCTCACGGCCGTCGAAACCAGCGGGTCGTGGAAGAAGTACGTGCGGGAGCCCGTCGTCTCGCTCCTCTCGCTGCGCTACCTTTGCCTCGCCGGCCGCGCGACGCCGCCGCCGCATCTCTTGCGCTGCTTTGGATCGCCACTGATCGCGAACGCCGACAAGGCGCGAACACGCTCACGACGCCTCGCGAGCAGCGCCGCGCGAACATCGCTCCCCGACGAGGTCTTCGAGCACATCCTGACCTTCTGGAACTTCGCGCCGCGAATCGCGGGAACCTGAATGCCCAGTAGTAGCGCCCTAGGTCGTTAGCTCTGCCCACCGCGGCCAGACCGCCGCCGCGGCGCAACCCGCGCCGCGGCACGCGAAGAGCTCCGCGAGGGCACCGTGCAACGCGGCTCGGCGCGCGGGCGTCGCGGCGCCGTAGGCGTTGCGCTGCTGGTAGGGGTCGTCCCCCAAGTCGTAGAGCTCGTAAAATTGAAGCTCCGTGGCGTTCCACGTCCACGAATTGTCGTATTCGACGTACGCCAGGTCCTCGTCCTCGGTGAGAACCCGGAGCATGCGCCAGCTGTTGGAGTGCGTCGAATCGACGATGTAGCAGTCGCCGTCGCCGACCTGGGCAGCAAAAGGGTGATTCAACGTCGCTTCAACGTGAGTGTTCCGCGCCCGCGCGTTCCGGATAGAGCATCCACGCTTCGAGACCGTTCCGAGAGATGATCGCTCGTCCAAAAATCAGCCAAAACGAGTGGAAAGCGGCCGAGATATGAGCCTTTGAAGTTGGGAATTTCGCACCCTTTTGCTGCCCTGTCGCCGACGCCCTCCGACTCGACGCATTCTGTCGTGTTCGCGCCGTCCGGACCGCGCGGGATGGGCCCGCACCTCGCGTCGCTGCTCCAGATCGACGTATGGTCGAAATAGTAGGTGCCGACGCTCATGTACTCCACGATGAACGCGCCCCGGCCTGCGGGGCCGTCGCCGCCGAGGAGCCGCGACGCGAAGGAGCTGCCGTCGACGTCCTCTGGAATCGCGAGCCCCGCGAGGTCCAAGACCGTCGGCAACAGGTCGACGTTCCCCACGAGGTCCGGCAGCGTCGAGCCCGGCGCGATGCCCGGCCCGCGGACGATGAAGGGGATGCGCACGTCCGTTTCGTAGGGATGAGTTTTGCTCGTCGTCTGCCGCCACTGGCCGAACTTGTAGCCGTGGTCCGACGTGTAGACGATGTAGGTGTCGTCCAAAACGCCCATCGCCTCGAGCTTGTGGTAGAGGCTGAACACCAGGTCGTCGACGCTCAGCAGCGACGCCCAGCGATCGCGGAAATGTTGCGACTGCCAGCACTTGACGCGGTCGTCGATGGGCGGCGTCTGGCGGACGTGCTGGACCTTGTCCTCGTGGCTACAGTTGTAGTTCGGGGTTTCGGGTATGCCCACGTCGTCGAAGGCGTGCGCGTACCAGGGCGCGGGCGTCGCCGGGAAGTGGGGCGCGTGCGGGCCCACGTAGGCGAAGAACGGGCCCGTGTGCGCCCGTCGAGCCAGCGCAGCGTCCGGTTGCCGATCTGGGATGTCTGGTACACAGTACCGAACACCGGCGCCGTCTCGTTGAGGAGCTCTTCGTAGGGTTCCGAGCCCGCTTCGTAGCGGAAGTATTTCAGCCCGTCGTAGTCGTTGTACTGCGACGGGCTGTCGACGTAGGCCGCGGACCGCGCCGCGGCGATGCGCCGCAGGATATCCGGCTGGTCGTTCGTGACCTTGCCGAAGATGCCGACGTCGTAGCCCGCCGCGGAGAGGAGCCCGAAGAGGCCCGCGTCCGCGCGCTCCACGAACGACGTGTCCACGTGCATGCACGCGCCGCCCGGCGTGCCGAGGTTGTGGTACATGCGGCCCGTCAGGAACTCCGTGCGCGACGGGCAGCAGATGGGCGTGTTGACGAAGGCGTTCGTGAGCAGCGCGCCCTCGTCGACGAGGAGCTTCTGGGTCTGGGGCATGATCTCGAGGCTGCCCATTGAAGTGTAGTCGCTGCTCCGCCCGAGGCGCGTGTCCTGGTCGTCCGTGAGGATGAACAGGACGTTCGGCTTCGCCGCGGCGCCGACGAGGAGCAGCGCGAAGGGCACGAACATCATCATGCTGCTCCTACAATTTAAGACGAGCGAGAAGGGCACGAACATCATAAGCTGCTCCCCTGCACCTTGAGACGATGCAGTAATCTTGCCGTAGATGGTGAAGGAGAGCCCGTGAGCTATGACGGCATCAATCCCTCAAATGGCGATCAGCCTCGCGCTGCTGCTCGCGGCAACCCATGCGCTCGCACCCTCGCAACCACCGGTCACGCTCCACTACACGCCGAAGCACCGCTTGCACCGGAACCGCCGCGGCCACCCGGAACACCCCGGCCGCCTCGACGAGTTCATCCTCCCCACGGCGCGAAATCTCGGCGACGCCGTCGCCTGGCGCGAACTCGGCGCGCCGCGGAGCGACGCGTTGGACGCCGTGCTGCGCGTGCACGACGGCGACCACGTGGCGCGCGTCGAGCGCGCGTCCGCGCGGCGCTTCGGTCGCGCGCGGCTCGGGCCGGACACGTTCGTGAACCGGCGATCGCACGAGGCCTTCCTCTGCGGCGTGAGCCTCTGGCTCGACGCCGTCGACGGCGCGCTGAACCGGTCGTCGGGCGTCGAGTTCGCCCTGAGCCGGCCGCCGGGCCACCACGCGGGCCGCGCCTCGGCGGACGGCTTCTGCGTCTACAATTACTGCGCGGCCGCCGCGGCGCACGCGCTCGACGTACATAAATGCGACTGGGTCGCGATCCTCGACTGGGACGCGCACCACGGCAACGGCGTCGCGGCCTACGCCGACGAGGACCCAAGAATTTGCTACGCGTCGGTCCACCAGGCGCCGCTCTGGCCGAACACGGGCGACGACGCCAGCGACCGCGGCTTCCACGGGAACCGGTTGAGCGCGCCCGTGGCCCGCGGCGCCGGGCCGGCGGCCTTCGAGGCGGCGTGGCGGTCCTGCGTCGACTTCTGCGAAGCGTTCGCGGAGAAGAGGGGCGGCAAAGGCCTCGTGATCGTCTGCGCGGGCTTCGACGCGTTGGAGGACGATCCCCTGGTCCAGTGCCGCCTGGGCGTCGACGACTTCGCGCCCCTCATGGAGGCCGTGCTCGACTGGCAGCCAACCGTCGTCGCCGGCCTCGAGGGCGGCTACTGCGCGGCCATGGGGCCCGCGCTGCGCGCGGCGCTCGACCCGGCGCTCGGCGGCGACCTCGCCGCGCGCGTGCTCGCGGCGCGCGCGCCGGACGGCGGGAGCGACGACGGCGGGCGGGTCGCGCTGTGCTCGGAAGCGAACCTGCCGCCGCGGGGCGGCCTGAAGCGGTGCGAGGGCGTCGTCGTCTGCGTCGACGCCGACGGCGCGCCGCGCGCCGTCGCCGCGCGCCTGCCGCCGCTCGGGCTGCCCACCTCGGGCTTCGGCGACTTCGACCCGAACGTGCGCACGCTCCGGGACCGCGCCACGGGCACGAAGTTCTACGTCGACAGCGGCGACGTCCGCGGGCCCTGGTGCCCCGAGTGGGCCTTCGGGCGCCGGGGCGGCGACAAGCCGGGCCGGCCGAAGCTCTCGACCGTGGCCCGCAAGGCCGCGTCCTGGGTCCTCTACCGCCGGGCGCGCCGGGACCGCCGGACGCTGGCGACGGCGCGCATCGAGGTCGTCGACGGCGCCGCGACGGTGTCCCGCGCCGAGTACGACGCGCTGGTCGCCGCGGCCGCGAAGACGTCGATCCCGACGCGCAAGCGGCTCCGGCGGCTCGTGCTCGCCGGCGCGATCTCCCAGGGGAACTTCGACGCGTTGGCGGCGTCGGGCGCGGCGACGATCACGACGGCCTACGACGCGAGCGCCGGCACCGTGCGGTCGAGCTGCGTCACTTCCGGCGGCTTCGAGCTCGGCTCCTACCTCGTCCGCCTCTCCGGCGAGCCGACGCCCGGCACGGACGCCGTCATCGCCCAGCTCCTCCACGGCGGCGACTTCGCCCGGGTGAAGCGGTCCGCCGACGGCTTCGCGAAGATCGCCGCGGGCGTCGCGGTCTTCGTGGAGCCGGCGGCGCGCGGCCGGAACCTGGGGGTCGTGCTCTTCAAGGAGGCCATGCGCGCGTGCCGCGCGCTGGGCTTCGACTACATGCTCTTCATCGAGCAGGACACGGGCAGCGGGCGGCTCGTGGCGTGGTACGAGAGCATCGGCTTCGTCGTCGTGCCGTCGGAGGCGATCCCGGGCTTGGACCAGGGCAGCAAAAGAGAGCGAAATTCCCAACTTCAAAGGCTCCGATCTCGGCCGTTTTCCACTCGTTTCGGCTGATTTTTGGACGAGCGATCATCTCTCGGGACGGTCTCGCAGCGTGGATGCTTTTGTCGGAACGCGCGCGCGCGGAACGCTCACGTTGAAGCGACGTTGAATCACCCTTGTGCTGCCCAGGCTTGGACCGCGCGATGGTCGGCCCCCTGCCGGACGACGCGGCCTACTACGACGCGGACCGCGAGGACGCGATCCGCGTCGTTCAGTTCGAAAGGTAACAGCACGCGCGAGCTCACGAGAAGCTACGAGTGGTAGTGTTAGCGGGAGGCGCGCGCGCGCGCCGCCCGATGACGTCGCGGGTTCCGACGGGCGGGGGCCGGCGCCGGCGGCCCCCCCGTGCTCGGAGATGATGCTGGCGATGATCGCGAAATTGGACGCGGCCCCGCCGTCACCGGGCCGCTCAGTCCTTGTCGACGGCCGTCTTCTTGAGGCCGCGGAGGCGGCCCGTGCGGCGCGCGGCGATGAGGCCGACCTTCTTGCCCGCGGAGCAGATGCGCTTCGTCGTCGACGGGTGGCCGATGTGCTGGTGGTTGCCGCCGCCGTGGGGGTGCTCGACGGGGTTCATGGCGACGCCGCGGACCTTGGGCCACTCGTTGCGCTTGACGCGGTACTTGTGGTAAGCGCGGCCGGCCTTGAGCATGGGCTTGTCCGTGCGGCCGCCGCCGGCGACGATGCCGATCATGGCGCGGCAGACGGACTTGACCGTCTTCTTGCCGCCGGACGGGAGGCGGAGCTTCGTCGTGCCGTGGTCCTCGTCGTGCGTCACGACGACGGCGTAGTCGCCCGAGCACCGCGCGAACGCGCCGCGGTCCCCCGGGCGCGCCTCCGCGTTGCAGATGACCGTGCCCTCGGGGATGGCACTGATGGGCAGCACGTTGCCCACGGCGAGCTGGGCCTTGGCGCCGCAGTAGATGAACGCGCCCTCGTAGAGGCCCTCGGCCGCGACGAAGAGCTCGTTGTCGCGCTGGAAGCGGTACGAGTTCTGGAACTGGACCTTGGCGATGGGCGCGCCGCGGCCGGACTCGTGGACGATGGCCTTGACGACGCCCTTGACGTAGCCCGTCTTCTCCGCGTAGTCGGCCTTGCGCAACTTCACGGGGCCCTTGCGGAGCCGCGTGTGCGCCGTGAAGATGGTCCCCTTGCCCTTACGGCAGCCGCGGATGACCTTGCCCATGGTGTCTGCGGAGGGGGGGGAAGGTGAGGGTCCGGGGCTTTGGGGTGGTGGGGGGGGGCTCTCTCGATTCAGGGGAGGCGGCGATCCGGCGGCGGAGCGGCGGCGGCGCGCGGCGCTCGCGTAATTTTTGCGCGAGCGCCGCGACGCCGTCACGCAACTGCCGCCGTCGGGGAGCCCCACATCGCGTCGGCGGAGGCGGGGTTGGGGGTCCCGGGGGCGCGCGCGTCGCCCGCTCTCGTGCGGCGGCGGCCTCCGGCGGCGAGCGGCGGCGACGGCGTGCGGCGCTCGCGTTTTTTTGCGTGAGCGACGAGCACACGGCGTCGTCGGCGTGCTGCCACCGTCGGAGAACCGCGCGTACCGCGTAAAGTCTCGCTCTCAGCCCGTCCCGACGGTCGCCCATCATCGCACCTTGGTAGCCGCTGGCGACGCAAAGCGAGCGAGGATTGGATGTGGCCGGGGTCTTTGCCAGCCCGCGGAATGGTCGAGCAACGCGCGCGGACGCGCTGGCAGGGCTACGGGGTCGGCTCGCGCGGCGCGGGCGCCCGGCGACCGCCCTCGCGCGGGCCCGGGGCGTGCGGGGGGTGGCGGCGATGGATGTTGAGCCGCCGGCTGCACGCGCGCGCCGGCGACGAGCTTGTCGAGCGCCGAGACGGTGTGCATCAGGCCCTTGCCGAGGAGGACGGAGCCGCTGAGCGCGAGGACGAAGAACGGCCGGCCGTCGCTCGCGCGCTTCACGTAGATGAGGGTGTGGTTCGACAGGTCCTGGACGAGGCAGCCCAGCGTGTCCTCGACCTCAGGCTTGGCGTGGACGGCGCAGGACTCGGAGGCGCGAGGCGCTCGCGGGCATCGGCTACGAGAAGTTCCGCGCCTTCCTGTCCCAGTTCTGCAAGGACAAGTTCGCGGCACTCCCGGAAAGCCAGAAGATCCGCCGCCTCGTGACGCTCTGGGCCAACTGCGTGCCGTAGCCGTAACGGTTGTAGCTCGCCTGTGGGGCACGAAGAATCCATGGACATCGACGAGGCCGCGGCGGTGCACAGCCGGAGCCAGGCGATTGGTAGTTGGTGCTTGTCGATATCGACTCGCACGTCGACCCAGCCCCAGGCGCTCGCGGGCGCCGACGCGCGGTTCGCATGAGGCGGACCCCCGGTCAAAGTGCCTGCTCTCTGGACCTTGGCCGAGGACCTTGGCCGAGCTCGAGCTCGACCTCGACGCGCGCCGCCCCGGCCCGCTGCCCGCCCGCCCAAACCCGAAATTCGGCGCCGAAGCTCGAGAGCAGCTCGAGAGCAGCTCGACGCGCAAAGGCGCCGCTCAGCGGCCGCGCACGACCCCGGACGCGCGCCGCCACTCCAACCACTCGACCATGAGCGCGTCGAGCAAGAGCCACGCGCGCATCGGCGAGCAGGTCTGGGCGAAGATGCCCAAGATCAACGCCGAGTTCTTCTGCCTCACCTACGGTACCATGGTCGTGCAGCTCATGAAGGACTTCGAGGACGTGCGCGAGGTCAACAAGAAGCTCGAGAGTATGGGCCACGGCATCGGCATGCGGCTCATCGACGAGTTCCTCGCCAAGAGCGGCATCAACAACTGCCACGACTTCTCCGAGACCTGCGACGTCATCGCCAAGGTCGCGTTCAAGATGTTTTTGGGCGTCGGCGTCGACGTCGCGAACTGGAACGCGGACAAGACGGCGTGCTCGCTGCTCCTCTACGACAACCCGCTCAACGACTTCGTCGAGATCCCGCCGAACACGAACTTGCTCTACTCGAACATCCTGTGCGGCGTCATCCGCGGCGCGCTCGAGATGATCATGATGAAGGTCGACGCGTTCTTCGTCCGGGACGTGCTCCGGGGGGACGACGTCAACGAGATCCGTGTCGAGCTCAAGGAGCGCATGGTCTCCGAGATGGACGACCAGTACAAGGAGGGCTAGGGTCGTGGATCGTAAGCCGCATCGCGTCGACGTCGGGTCTTTCGGCGAACCGCCGCGCGAAGTCGCCGCGAACGGCCCGGGGAGAAACGCGAAGACACCGGGAGTTGGACACCGGTCGGGCGGAAGCCGATCGCCGGATCGTCGAATAAACACGAAGGGCACTTACGAACTCTCACGGGAGCCACGCGGTGGGGTAGGGCCCGCCCCGCTGGCGCGCGATCGGCGGGTGCGGCGTCGCCGGCGGCGGCGGCGCGAGGTTCGCCGCGACGCCCGGCGGCGGCGCGAGGGGCGGCGCCGGCGCGGTCAACGGCGCGGTCGGCGGCGGCTGGCCCGGGAGCCAGAGCGGCGGCGCGTAGGGCTGGAGGGGGAGGAAGACGTGGCGGGGGAAAAGGTGCGGCCGCGGCGCGAGGAGCGGCGGCGGCGGCGCGCCCGGCGACCGCGGGACCATGGCCGCGTAGGCCGGCGGCGGCTGCCAGGGCGGCAGGCCCGGCACGGGCGCCGCCGGCCCCCGGGGCGGCGCCTGGGCCGCGGCGATGGCCGAGAGCAGCGAGGCGACCTCGCTCGCCTGGCGCCGCTGGTGGTAGTGGAGGCTCGCGGCGATGTCCTCCTGGCGGCGGCGCTCGCGGCCCGCGGCGCCGCCGGGGAGCGTCGTCCGGTTCCGCCGGGGGCCGGACGGCGGCGTCGCGCCGATGTCGCGCGGCCGCGCCGAGAGCGTGCGGCAGTGCGCGAGGCCTCCGGGCGGCGCGAACGGCGCGGCGTCCGTCGTCTGGCCCACGTCGCGCTGGATGACGCGCCGGGCCGCGCAGACGTGGCCCTGCTTCGGCGCGCCGCAGATGCCGCAGCGGTAGGACCCGCGCTTCGCGGGGCGAGCGCTCGGCCCGTCGCCGCCGAGCGACGACCCGCCGTCGTCGGACTCGTCCATGGGCGCGGGCGGCCACTTGTCGGCGGGCAGGTCGGCGACGCCCGACGGCGACTCCTCGTAGGCCGGCGGCGGCGGCGGCGGCGGCGACAGCGCGGGGAGCGGCGCGCCGGCGTCGACGTCGAAGCGGTCGCGCGCCGCGGCGACGTCCGCGGCCCCGGGGTCCCCGATGGGCGGCAGGGCCCGGCTCTTCTTCGTCGTCGGGACGTCCGCCGCGGCCTCGCCGGGGCGCTTCTTCTCCACGAGCTCCTGGTCCTGCGGGCGGCGACGCGTTCGAGATCGCGTCGCGACCCGACTCGGATCGGGCGGGGCGGCCGCGCGCGCGACGAGGGTGGGGTACATATCCCCGACGACGAACGAGGGGCGTTTTTCGTTTGCGAGGAGGCGTCGTCGGGCGTCGCGTTCCCGACCCCCCGGGCGAAAGATGCGGCGGATTTATTTGTGATGACGCAGAAGCTCACCATGAGGTGGAGCAACCCGATACAGGCGTGGGTCTCGATGGACGGCGTGCGCACGTGGCCCGGCGGCGGCGGCGGCGCGCCGGGCGGCTTGGCGCCCGTTCCCCAGAGCGCGGGCATCTTGAGAATCCGCACCGAGCGCTCTCAGAGACTCGGAGAGGCTGTTGCCGAGCACCAAATTTTGACGAGATGTTGACTTTCGGACGACGCCTGGAGAGCTCCCTTACGCCCACAACCCGTAGACGCAGACGACGGCGACGGCGGCCCCCAGGACCCCCAACGAGAAGGACGACGTCGGGTGGCGCACGCCGAAGAGGACCGCGTCCCGGAGCGCGAGGGACCCGTCCACGGCCGCGCCGTAGAGCGCGTCGTGCGCGTCCGCGAGGAAGCCGCCGAGGCGGTCGCCGAGGGACACGACGGGCGGCCGCTTCGCCGCGGCCTGGATGCGGTCGTAGAGCGCCTGGGCGTCGCGGAGCGCCGTGCCCAGGGGCGTGTTCACCGCGCCCTCGTCCTCGGACGACTTCCGCGACAGCGCCGCGCGCAGCGGGAAGTCGACGATGAGCCCGTAGGCCGCGTCGAGCGCCTGGGCGAGCACGGCGGCGTCGCGCCGGTCCATGGCCTCGCGCAGCGCCTCGACGGCCGCGAGCTCGCCGCGCAAGATGGTCAGCAACCGCTCCGCGTCCTGCCGCTCCTGGCCGGCGGTTTCGTCGTAGTCGTAGTGATCCCCCAAGTCCTCCGTCGTCGCCAGGGCGTTCTCCAGGTCCCGGACGGCGGCGAAGGTCCGCTCGGCGTCCGCGGCGGCCCGGGCCTGCGCCAGGGAGAACGCGCCGCGCGGCACAGGGCTCGCGGACTCGAGCGCCGCGACCGACCGCCGCGCTTGCTCCGCGAGCTCTCCCGAGCCGCCGTGGACGTCGCGCAAGAGGCGCCGCAGGGCCGGCACGTCGCGGCGCCGCAGCGCGTCCTCGAGGCCGTGGTCGATGACCTTGGCGCGGTGCCGCGCCGCCGTCGAGTCGGGCCCGTCGTCCTCGTCGTCGTCGTCCGAGAGCCGCGACGATTCCACGAGGTACAGGTCGTCGAGCACGCCCCGCAGCTCACCGAGCAGGCGCGACGACCCGCCGCGGGACCGGTCGACGGCCTCGACGACGACGCGCCGCAGCGCCGCCGCGGACACCGCGTCCTTCGCGGCCGCGTCGCGACACGCGCTCCGCGCGGCGTCGACGTCGGCGTCGTCGCCGGCGTTCGCCGCGCCCACCAAACCCTGGAGCGCCGCCTCGGCGGCCTCCTGCGCCGCGACCTCGACGCGCAGCGCGCGCATCGCCGACGGCGACGGCGGCGCGGGATCGACCGGTTTGAAGATCGCGGCCGGCGAGCTCGCGTCGCCCCGGAGCGGCGCCGCGTAGGTCGCGCCCCGCGAGTCGACGCGGACGCGCAGGTCGCCCTGGCTGAAGGTGCGCTCGAGCTCCTCGTCGGAGCCGTAGGCCTTGTCGTCGTCGTCGGCGCGCCGCGCCTCGGCCTCGGCCGCGAGGTCCAATAGGCCGAGCGACGACCCGTGGAGCGAGCCCGCGGCGACGGGCTGGAACGCGCCGCCGCCGAGGGGGCTCGCCTCCGTGGAGGCGCTCGTCTGGCGCGACGCGGGCGGGGGGCTCTCGAGCGTCGCGAGCTCTTGAATGGACAAAGAGTCGAGCGAGTGGTCGCTGCCGAGCATGCCCTCGCGCAGGCTCCGCGACGGGCCCTCGGGCGTGGAATCGTCGTCGAGGGCCGCGATGACGTCGAGCTGGCGCGGCGTCAGGTCCGCGGCGCGCGCCGCCGCGAGCGCCTGCGAACGGTCGAGGCGATCGGTCCCGCGGCTCGCGCGCGCGCGACGCGCGGGGGGGGTCGGCGACGCGTGGAGGGGCGGCGCGGGCGCGCGCCGCGAGCTGGGCACGACTCATGGCCTTGAGCGCCGCCTCGTCGATGGCCTGGACCTCCTCGCCTACGACGAACGTTTTTTTAGAGAGCATTTTTTGGAAGTTTATCGTACGGGTCGCGACGTCTTTCAGGTCGTCGTCGCCGCTGTCTGCTGGCGACAACGCGGGCTTCGGGAGCGTCGGGACGAAGGCGTTCGAGGACATCATCATTAGCTTGCACGAGGCGTCGCGCCGATCCTCTCGCTAGCGCTATAGCCGTCGGGCAGTGCTCGCCTCGAGCAGGCCGCGACACTCGCTCGGATCGCGCCCATGGACGCCTCCGCGGGCGATGCCCCGCCGGTCCACTCCAGAGCCACGGCCTCCCGTGCTCATCTTAGGGACTCGCAGTCTGCCGATCGCGTGCGGGCGCTGCCGATGCCGCGAACCGCGCCGCGTCGTCGCCGCCGCGGCGGACAACGGCGACACCGTACCACACGTGAAGCACGACCAGCGACACCGCGCTTCTTGTCTTGTCGACACCCTTACCGAGAACCGCCTCCGACGCAGACCCTCTCGCGGGTGAGCACTGCCCAGGAGGCGCACACACGTTGGCCGGGGTTCAATAAGCCAAGGTTGCCGCCAAAGCCGACTCCACAGCTGGCGACGCGGCCGAACGCGCCGAGCCTCGACGCTGCGCGCCGCCTCCGCCGCCATGTCGGAGGCCGACGACATGTCCGTCGCGGACTCGAGGAAGCCGTCGTCGAAGGGCCTCAAGCCGCGCAACGACCGCGTCAAACTCACGCGGGACGAGAAGGACGAGTTCATCAACTGGCTGGCCCTCGAGTTCGCCGAGGCGTCCCTGCGCCGCGCCTGGATGGAGACGAAGGTCCTCGCGCGCGCGCGCAACCTCATCCTCAAGGCCGCGCGCGGCGGCGCCATGGCGCCGCGGTCCAGGTGCCTCGAGCAGCCGAGCACGGCCAACGACGTCGTCGCGCGCGCGTGCGCCCAGGTCATCGGCGACCACGGCGACCGCCTCCTCGCGCACTGGACGAAGCTGACCCACCACGCCAAGGGCTCGAAGAAGATCCTCGCGCGGCGCGAGAAGGAGAGCCGCAACGCGGGGCGCACGATCTTCCGCGCGAAGCAGAAGAAGCACCAGTGCCGCCACGGGTAAACTAGGAAGCTCGACACAGGCGCGGGCCGCGGGGGTGTCGGGTCGCCTCGCCCCGCCCCATAGCATAGGGTTTACTGCGACGCGGGGCCGGCCTCCGCGGGCGTCGCCGGCCGGCCCGCCTTCCGTTTCTTGCGGCGCCGGCCGAGCAGCTTCGACTTCCCCTTCCGCTCCCGGCGCCCGCCGGGGTTCGACTTCCCCTCGCACTTGCGCGTCGCGTGGTGGAGCAGGTAGCCGCAGCCGCCGAGGTCCCCGCGCGTCTTGTTCCCGACGAGCCGCGCGTCGACGAGCGCGTGGGTCCAGCCGCCGTGGGCCGACTTCTCCATGCGGGGCAGCTCGTCGAGGCGCGAGCCGTCGACGTCGTGGCGCGCGCCGTCTTTGGCCAGGGGCGTCCACGCCTCGAAGGAGTGCCGCCACGAGTTCACGTTCGACATGAGCTTGTTCTCGTAGGTCGCGACGATCTCCACGAGGTCCAGGCCCGCGCAGCCGATGGCGTCGGCGTCGGCTTCCAGGAAGGCGGCGAAGGCGCAGGGGTCGTCGAGGACGACGTCGGCGCGCCAGCGGTCCCGCAGCCGCCGCAAGACGGCGTCGAAGTAGTCGGCGATGCAGTCCGCGCAGAGGAGGCGGCGGTCGACCGCCGTCGCGCCGTCGACGAGCCGCTTCGCGCGCGCCGGGTCGCCCTCGAGCGCCTCGACGACCTCGGGCAGCGTCGCGTGGTCGACCTCGACGTGCGTCGCGCCGTCGGCGAGCGCCGCGTAGTACCACTCGACCGCCGGCTGGCGCCACTGCAGCACGACGCTGCCCAGGAACCAGAGGTGGTTCAGGTTCCGCGAGTAGGAGCCGTGCGTCGACCCCGGCAGGTTCAGCAGGTACTTGTACTTGGCGTAGTCCTCCTGCATCGTCCACCGCGGCGACGTGACGATCGCCGGCTTTTTCGCCACGGCGACCATGTCCGGCGTGTAGGGCATGGGCGGCACGCCCTCGACGCCGTCGCAGAAGTGGGCGTCCTCGCGCGGCGCGCAGACGCCCGTGGACCCGCAGCGGACGTCGACGAACCGCGACGCGCTCAGCGTGAGGCTCGCGGCCTGGAGCCGCGCGTAGTTGCCGCCGGCGATGGCGCAGTCGTGCCTCCGGTGCGCCGGGTCCGCCTTCCCCGGGCGGATCGCGCCGCGCCAGAAGGCCCGGCGGCTCCGTTTCTCGAAGGGCGAGTCCTTGGCGACCGCGTGCAGCCGCTTCCGGAAGTCGTGCCAGTCGCGCCAGTCGCCGAGATAGGGGTTCGGGATCAGCACGCCCGGCCGGTCCGGCGGGTCCTTGGCCATGACGAGGCACGGCTCCCAGGGCTCGAGGCCCGGGCACTCGCCCGTCGACGTCGTCGAATACCGGTACGCGACGTTCGGCAGCCGCTTCGCGCCGTCGCGCGCGAGGAGCGACTTGACGAAGCTGACGTGCTTCCGCGTCTTGTCGTTGTTCGCCTCGATGAACAAACGGTCCACGAAGACCTTGCCCTCGTAGATGAGGACCGTCGTCTTCTTGTCCCAGAGGTAGCTCCGCAGGAAGCGCCGCGCGCTGCCGCCGACGTCGCCCCGGACCCAGCCGGGCGGCGGCGGGTAGGCGTCGACGGACCGGTTCAGGGCCGCGTACACGCGCGACGCGTCCAGGGCACCGCACCGCGCGACGACGACCGCCGCCAGAGCGATGAGCATTATTGGTCGCCTCGAGAAACAGCTCGCTGGACAATCTGTGACATTTCAGTAATTGCAAGGCCTCCGAGGCCTACTCGGCCGATAGGTGCCTCGCTAGACCTCGGCTGAAGAGGTGGGCACTGGGCTTCACTAAAACCACGCTTAAGGTCCGTCATCTCTCGCCCAGCTCCCGGAGCAGCGCGGAGAACGACGGCCGGCGGCGCGGGTCTTCGCTCATCATCCGCGGCAGGAGCCGCTCGAGCCGCGCGGCCGCGGCCCGGTCTTCCGCGACCGCGATGATGTGCGGCAGGATCCACTCTCGCGCGGCCGCGTCGAAGACGTGGACGCGCCAGTCGAAGGGCGCGCAGGCGCCGTCGACGCAGTCCGTCACCTCCGGGCCGCTCAGCCACCGTTCGCCGCACTTGCGCGGCATGTTTGATCGAGTGCGGCACCCGTTGTGGTACGGGTGCGTGCGCCGCGCGCACACGCCCGCGCCCGCGTCGGCGTCGTCGCTCGGGCAGGGCCGCGCGGCGCCCGGCTCGAGGTCCGGCTTGTCTGGCCGCTCCATGCCGATGCCCTCGACGTAGATCCGCGCCTCCTTGAGTTTGTGGGCCTGCTTCGTGCTGTTCGCCTTGTGCCACCAGCTGTGTTTCGGATGATACCCCCGCGCCTGGAAGTGGCGGCGCGCGAGCCGGGCGATCGGCCCGGAGTTCGGCGCCGGGCCGTCGACGAGGTAGACGTCGCCGGCCGCGTCGAGCGTGAACTGGTTCGGCTTGAAATCCGTCAAGACGAAGCCGCCCCGTTCGCCGAAGCTCCGGAAGCACCGCAGCCACGCCCGCGCGAGGTCGAGGGGCGCGCCGCGCGCCCGAGCGTCGTAGACCTCCGAGTACTCGAGGTCGCGCTTCTCGGGGTCCGTGTTCGTCCCCGTCGCCACGCGGCCGCCGCCGTTCGACGTCGCCCACACCACGTGCGTCGGCGTCTCGTACGCGCCGAACAGCTCCGGAATGCCCGGCTCGCCCCGGAGGCCCTCGAGGAAGAGGCGACGTCGCTCGCGCGGCCGCCGAGTTTGAACGGTTCTTCCTGGCGGAGCGCCTTGACGACGACGCGTCGGCCGTCGCGCAGCTGCGAGAGCCAGACGTCCTTCAGGCCGCCGTGCTCGAGGACGTGGTCCGTGCGGTTGTCCAGGTCGTCGGGGGAGCGCACGCGCCAGTGGGTGGGAGGAGCGGAGGCGTTCGTGAGCCAGGCGTCGAGGCGCTCGAGGCGTTTAAATGTTTGGAAGGCGGCGTCGGTGATCGTGAGGAGTGATGCGAGGGCGATGTGCCGCGCGAGGCGACACATCGTTGCGCCCTAAGGCGCCCGGCAAGGCCAAGATAGGGCGGCAACGTGTCGTCTCGCCACTCGAGAACTGCTCGCCGAAAATCGTAACCACCGCGGCGGCAAACTCGTACTCCGTGAACGCTCCCAAGGCCTCCCGACCAGCACTCCCGGGACACCGCCGCGGGACGAGAGACGCCACCCTTACCCGCCGCGTTTGGATCTGCACTCGACTGCCGCGTGGCTCGCGATCCAGCCGCAGCCTGGCGGCATGGGCCGAGCGTCGACGAGCGCGTGCGTGTGCCAGCCGTAGAGCTTGTCGCTCGGCAGGATGTCCGTGCGGGACGGTTTGCGCGCCTGGATCCGCGGGTCCTGCCAGTCCTCGAAGGAGTGCTGCCACGAGTCCACGCGCTCCCGGAACAACGTGTCGTGCGACGCGACGATCTCGACGAATTCGAGGCCGTCGCAGCCGACGGCCTCGCGGTTCGCGGCGTCGCCGAAGAACGCCGCCATCGCGCAGGGGTCGTCCAGCACGGTGTCCATGCGGTAGGCGTCCCGGAGCTTCTCGAGCACGGCGACGAAGAAGTCCGCGAGGCATTTCGGGCATAAAAGGTTTTGGTCGACGGCTTTCGCGCCCTCGACGAGCGCCGCCGCGCGCGACGCGTTCCGCTCCAGATCCTTCACCGTCGCGAGCAGGTCGTCGCCGTCGACCTCGAGGTGCGTCGCGCCCTCCTTGAGAGCCGCGTAGTACCACTCGACCGCCGGCTGGCGCCACTGCAGCACGACGGCGCCGAGGAACCACAGATGGTTCAGATTCCGCGAGTAAGAGCCGTGCGTCGACCCCGGCAAGTTCAGCAGATACTTGTACTTCGCGTAGTCCGCCTGCGACGTCCAATTCCCGTCGCTGAGCTTCTCCGGCTGTTTCGCGGCCTCCTCCAGCGCGTGCGTGTACGGCATCGGTTGGATTTCGCCGCGTTTATCCTTAACGCCGTCGCAGAGGGACCCGTCGGTGCGCGGCTTGCAGTGCCGCGCCTCTTGGCACTTGGCGTCGACGTGCGCCGGATCGTCCAACGTCAAAGCCACGGCGCGCAGGCGCGCGTAGTTCCCGAAATCCTTCTTGCATACCAGCCCGGCGTCCCCCGCGGCCGAGCCTTTCTCGCTGTGGCGGATCGCGCCGCGCCAGAAAGCGGTCTTTTCCCGCTCCGCGAAGGGGTGGTGCCGGCTCGCCTCGTGGAGCCGCGCGCGGAAATCGTGCCAATCCTGCAACGTGGCGACGTAGGGGTTCGGCACCATGATGCCGGGTCTTGGACGGTCCTTGGCCATGATGAGCACGGGCTCCTTGTCGTGCTTCGTCTGGCCCGTGGAGGTATGCGACCAGAGGTAGGCGGCGTTCGGGAGCTTGTAGCCGAGCTCGCGCATCGACGCGAGGAAACGGACGTGGTTCCGCTGCTTGCCCTCGTTGGTCGCGTCGACGAACGAGCGATCCACCAAAATCTTGTTGTTCCACAGGAGCACCGTGCCGTCCTCGTCCCCGGTCTTCCACAGGTAGGACCTGAGGAAGCGCGACGCGGACCCGCGCGGGTCGCTGGCGTTCCAGTCGGCCGTCGGCCGGCCGCCGTAGCGGTCGCCGTAGGCGTCGACGCTCGCGCGCATGGCCTCGTACATCTTCGCGACGTCAGTGGCGTCGTGCGCGGCGCGCGACGCGGCGAGGAGCACGAGGCCCAGGAGCGGGCGCATGGCTCGAGACGTCGACGCGGGTCGCGACGTAGGACTCCTCGCACGATCGCCGACGGCGCATCCGGCCGACGGTGCTTTCTCAAGAGTTCCTCGGTTTCGGACGCGTGGGGCTGCCCGGCGCCCGCCGGGAGAGCACGATGTCCCACGCCGTCTGACACTCGAGCATGGCCGAGTTCAACCCGTACGCGCCGCCGCGCGCCGCCCCGCCGCCGAAGCCGCCGAAACCGACGAAGCCGAAGCCCGCGGCCGCGCCCGCGGCGGCGCCGCCGCCCATGGTCTCCGGCAAGCCGCCGCCGCCGCTGCCGCCGCGGCGGGCCGACGCGCCGGCCGCGCCGGCGCCGGCGCCGCCGCACCCGGCCGCGGCGCCGGCGCCGCCGAGGCGCGGTCCGCCGCGCGGCCCGCCGCCCGTCGGCGGCGCCGCGCCCGGGCGCCCGCCGCCGCCCGTCGGCGGCGCCGCGGCGGCCGCGGGAGCGCCGTCGCCGGCGCCCGCGGCGGACGCCGCGAGCCCGAGCGCGCTGTCCGGAGTGGGCGCGGTCTTCGGGTCGGCCTTCGCGTCGCTGACGACGTCGATGCAGCGCTACGAGAGCATGGCCTACGACGCCGGCGGCGGCCGCGCGCGCGCGGCCGAGCTCGCGGCGCTCCTCCGCGGCGACGTCGCGGCGCCGCTCGCCGGCCGCCGCGTGCTCCGCGAGGGCCCGCTCAAGAAGGTGAACCGGGGCGGGCCGAAGCAGTACCTCTTCGTGCTCCTCGACGACGCGCTCCTCTACTGCCGCGCGGTGCCCAACGGCGACGCGCTCGAGCTCAACCACGAGCTACCGCTGGAAACCGTCGTCGCGGGCCTGGGCCACCACGGCGCGGCGACGGCGCTCCGCGTCGAGTCGCCCGCGAAGAGCTTCCTCTGCGTCTCCGCGGACGCGGGCCGCGACGGCCTGTCCGTCGAGTCGTGGGCCGAGGCCGTCGCCGCCGCGGCGGCCGCGCGGCGCGAAAAGACGGGCGCGGCACCGCCGGCGGCGCTGGCCCCCGTCTGGACCGTCGACGGCCACGGCGACGACTGCTCGCTCTGCGGGAAGCTCTTCACGCTCTTCGACCGCAAGCACCACTGCCGCAAGTGCGGCCGCCTCGTGTGCCACGCGTGCTCGGGCGAGAAATTGTTGCTCCCGGACGCGGACGCCAGGGCCGGCGAGTCGTTCCAGCGCGCCTGCGTGACCTGCCACGCGGCGCACGTCGACGGGACGGCCTACGGCGTCGACCGCGTCACGTCGTACGGCACGAAGATGGCGCCGCGGCCCCGCGGCGCCCCGGCGGCGCCCGCGCCGCCCCACGAGCACCCGCCGCCCGTGCCGCCCCACGAGAACGACGCGCCGCCGCTGCCCGCGCGCCGCGCGTCGACGATCCCGCCGAGCCGGCCGCCGCCGCCGCCGCCGCGGCCCGCGGCCGCGGCGGAGCCTGAGAAGCCCGCGTCCGGGAAGCCGCCGCCGCCGCCGCGGCGGCCCGCGGCCGCGGCGGAGCCTGAGAAGCCCGCGTCCGCGAAGCCGCCGCCGCCGCCGCCGCGGCCCGCCGCGGCGCCCGCCGCGGCGCCCGCGGCGCCGCCGATGGTGTCCGGGAAGCCGCCGCCGCCGCCCCGGCCCGCGGCCGCGGACCCGGCGCGGAAGGAGGACGCGCTCGACGACGCCGCGTTCGTCGCCGCGCTGGGCTGCGACCGGGCGGCCTTCGCGGCCCTGCCCCGGTGGAAGCAGGACCTCAAGAAGAAGAAGGCGGGCCTTTTTTAACTCGGAAGGATCGCGGGGGCCCGGCCGCGCTCACCACTTGTGGACGTTGAGGCGCTTGGCGCCCGCGCGGACGGCGGAGGAGTCGCTGCACGCGGGGCTCGGCGGCGTCGCCGGCTCGCGGCCCGGGTAGCGGGGCTGGCTCCCGCGGAGCCGCGCCCGCGACACGGAGACGGCGGCCGCGGACGGCGGCGGCTCCGCGCCGCCCGCGTCGGAGATGAAGCTCGAGCCGTCGCAGGAGACGAACGCGAGGCCGTTGCGGCTCATGTCGTCGCCGAGGCGGATGTAGCCGACGCCGGCGGAGCGGAACTGGGGCGCGAGCTTCCGCGGCGGCACGTCCGTGTCCCAGTAGGGGCAGAACGGCGCCTCGTCGACGGCGACGGCCGACTTGGGCTGCTTGCCGTCGTCGCGGAAGCGCTGGGGGCTCAGGATGACGTCGACGCGGCTCTCGCAGCCCGCGAAGAAGGCCCGGACGTCGTCGGCGGTGCTAAAGGGCACGGGCGCGCCGTCGAGGAGCGAGAGGCACTGAAGGTCGCTCGAGCCCGGCCGCGTCCGCGACGCGAGGTCGACCAACCGCGCGTGGCAGCGGTCGAGCTCGAGGACCAGGGACCCCCGGTCCCCCTTCAGGAGCGCGCCGCCGACGGACCGCGCGGCCTCGACGGGGCCGCTGTAGCGCACGCGGCCGTAGACGAGGCACAGCAGCGCGCCGCGCTTCGTCTCGACCAAGACTTCGCCCCGGCCGCCGAGCCGCGTCATGGCGTCGCCCAGGGGCCCGTTGTCGTGGGCGATGTAGAGCGGCGCCGCCGCCGGCGGCTCCTCGGCGAAGGGGATGGGCGCGACGGCCTTGGGGGTTCCCGCGGGCTGCGCGCCGTCGGAGCGCGTCCGCCGCGGCCGCTCGCTCGAGAGGCCGCCGTTCGTCGGCGACCGCGCGTCGGCGCCGCGCCGCGGCGCGCGGCTCACGTGCTGGGCCGGCGGCGTCGGCGGCGGGCTGTCGGCCGGCGGCGGCGGCGTCGGCGGCGGCGTCGCGTGCTGCTGCTGCCGCGCCATGAGCGCGCGCGCGGCGTTCGGCGGCCGCGCGGACGCACCCCCGGCGTCGTCGTCGAGCCACGTGCCGCCCTCGCGGCGCCGCCCGCCGCCCCCCCGGTGCGCGGGGCCGCGGCCGCCGTGGCCGAGGCGCGTCGGCGTCACGGACCTGGGCAGGAGAAGAGTGCGAAATGCCCAACTTCAAAGGCTGCTCTCTCGGCCGTTTTCCACTCGTTTCGGCTGATTCTTGGACGAGCGATCGTCTCTCGGAACGGTCTCGACGCGTGGATGCTTTTTTCAGAACAGGCGCGCGCAAAACACTCACGTTGAAGCGAACTTGAATCACTCTTTCCCTGCCCCGTCTCGAACCCGAAGACGCCCTCGATGCCGTCGCGCGCGAAGAGGTTCTCGTCGGCGCCCCGCTGGTCGCTGGGGCCGAGCGCGTCGGCGGCGCTCTGGATGCGCCGGTTGTCCGAGTTGCGGTTCGCGCCGAGCACGCGCGACAGCGACGCGTCGACGGCCGACGACCGGAGCCGCGCGTTCTCGCTCTCGAGCGCGGCGATGCGCCGCGCCTGGTCCGCGACGACGCGCCGCAGGCGGGCGACCTCGCGCTGGGCGTCGTTGTGGTCGCGGTCGCGGCCCGGCGGCGGCGGGTCCTCCCGAGTCCCCCGCGCGGGGTCGCTCGCGGACCGGTCGCGCCGCGGGCTCGCGTCGCCGGGGATCGTCACCGGCGGCGGCCGCGCGCCGGCGGCGGCGGCGGCGCCCTCGCCGTAGGAGAGGTCGTTCACGGCGGCCTCGTCGCGCCGCGCCTCGCCCCCCCGGCGCCCGGCGCCCGCCCCGGGGTGGCCCCGGGCGTGCTCGCTCGGGCGCGCCGCGCCGCGGCCGCGGTGCGTGCCGCTGCCCACGACGCCCAGGGCCCCGGGCCAGGAGTCGTGGGACGGCGCCGCGTCCGACGCACCGTAGGCCGTGCTCCGCCGCAGCTCGCTCGTCGCCCGGAACGGGTTCGCCTCGCGCGCTTGCGCCATAAGTACGGGCTGCCCCGACGCCCGGCACCGTGGAGCAAACCTCAACGACACGGCCGATCTCGACGGAGCACCGAGAGTTGCCTCTTCTTCATATCTCAAGAGCATGGCTCTGTTGGCCTCCGCGTCGCGCCGCCTCGCCGCCCGGGCCGCCCGCCCGGGCCCGAAGAAGTTCAGCAGCCTCGCGGCCCTCGGCGAGGAGCACCAGCAGATCCGCGACGTCGCGCGGGCCTTCGCCGAGGAGCGGCTCTACCCCATCGCCGGCGAGGTGGACCGGCTCCACCGCTACCCCGGCGAGGTCGTGTCGGAGCTCGGGGAGATGGGCATGATGGGCATGATGGTCGAGGAGGCCCACGGCGGCGGCGACATGGACGCCCTGTCCTACGCGGTGGCCCTCGAGGAGGTGAGCCGGGGCTGCGCGAGCACCGGCGTGATCATGTCCGTGAACAACAGCCTCTACTGCGCGCCCGTCCGCGCCAACGGCGACGAGGCCCAGCTCGCCGAGTTCCTCGCGCCCTTCGCCGCGGGCGAGAAGCTCGGCTGCTTCGGCCTCAGCGAGCCGGGCAACGGCAGCGACGCCGGCGCGGCGTCGACGACGGCGCGCGACGACGGCGACGCGTGGGTCCTCAACGGCACCAAGGCCTGGATCACGAACGCCCACGAGGCCGACGCCGCCGTCGTCTTCGCGACGACGGACAAGTCCCTCAAGCACCGGGGCATCTCCGCGTTTCTTGTGGACACGAAGGCCGAGGGCTTCTCCGTCGGCGCCGCCGAGGACAAGCTCGGCATCCGCGGGTCGTCGACCGCGAACCTCATCATGGAGGACTGCCGCATCCCCAAGTCCTGCCTCCTCGGCGAGCGCGGCGACGGCTTCAAGATCGCCATGCGGACGCTCGACGGCGGCCGCATCGGCATCGCGGCGCAGGCGCTAGGCATCGGCCAGGCGGCGCTCGACGTCGCCGCGACCTACGCGGCGGACCGCACGGCCTTCGGCAAGCCGCTGACGAATTTGTACGCCATCCAGCTCAAGATCTCCGAGATGGCCTGCAAGCTCGAGGCCGCGCGCCTCCTCACGTGGCGCGCGGCCTCGCGCAAGGACGCGGGCCTCGCCTACACCAAGGACGCGGCCATGGCCAAGCTCTGCGCGTCCGAGGCCGCGACCTTCGCCGCCCACCAGGCCATCCAGGTCCTCGGGGGCATGGGCTACGTCTCCGACATGCCCGCGGAGCGCTTCTACCGCGACGCGCGCATCACGGAGATCTACGAGGGCACGTCCGAGGTCCAGCACGTCGTCATCGCCCTCAACGTCCTCAAGGCCTACGCCGGCGAGGCGACGGCGCTCCCCGCCGCGCCGCACAAGCCCGAGCACGAGGACGTCGCCGCCGCGGCCTAGCCCGCGGCCGCCCCGCGTAACCGGCCCGCCCGGACCGCGCCGTTACTTGGGCGACTTGAGGGCGAGGATGCGCGCGAGGATGGTCTTGGAGATGGTCTCCTGCTTCGCGACGAGGCGCTCGTGGTGGAGGTCGACGCAGTCCGGGACCGCGTCGTCGAGGTCGACGGTGCCGACGCCGTCGATCGCGAACGACGGCGGGTCGTCCGGGAAGTGGGACGCGTTCATGAGGACGCCCTTGAAGATGAGGCGGCACAGGAAGAGCCGGAGCTCCGTGACGTCGCGCGCGCCCGGGTCCGCCTGCGTGGACCCGACGACGTCGTGCGTCGTGCCGCGGACGTCGTAGCGCCGCGTGTCGTAGAAGTGGGCCGCGATGCGCGGCACCGCGGCGAGCAGCGCGAGGGGCGTGTAGACGTTGAAGCTCGACACGTAGGGCCAGACGTCCTCGGACGCCGGCGGCAGCGGCGGCGCGTCGCGCGACCGCCGCGGCGTCCGCGGCGTCGACGGGCTGCTCGGCGACGGCGGCGGGTCGACGAGCGCGTCGTCGTCGCCGCAGAACGTGTCGCGGAACCAGGTCGCGTCGCAGCGGTCCGCGAGCTTGCGCTGGCGGTCGCGGTGGCCCGCGGGCAGGTGCACCTGGCGCCACAAATGCTCGATGGACGCGCGCTGCGCGTCGCAGACCGACGCGCCGACGGGCCCGCCGCGCGCGCCGAGCGCGTCGTAGACGCTCCTCGGCAGGCGGCAGGCCAGGGCCAGGTGCCTCGAGATGACGGTCATGGGCACGCCCAGCGCCTGGCACCGCGCCGTGAAGAACGTCGCCGCGACCTCGTCCGCGCGGTTGTTCGACGCGTCCGCGTCGGGGACGAGCGCCGCGCAGGGGACGACGCCGTCGTCCTCCACGCCCAGGCCCGTGGCCACGACGCCGCCCATGACGACGGCGCCCAGCGTCTTCTCGCGGAAGAGCTCCGGCGACCGCGACGCGAAGTCCGCGGCGTCCGTCTGCGAGTGGATGACGACGAGGCGCACGCCCGTCTGCGGCGCGCGCGCGTAGAGCTCCTCGAGCTGGCAGGCCCGCTTCGACGCGTGCTGCACCAGCACGCGCGTGTTGTGCAGGCCCAGGGCGTTGAGCGTCGCGCGCGTCCGCGCGGCCGCGGCCTCCAGCGTCGTCACCTCGCCGAACCGCTCCTCGGACGTGAGCACGATGCCCAGCAGGTCGACGGCCTGGAGCTCGATGAGCGCTCTCAGCAGCGCCAGGCCCATGAACTCGTCGGCCTTGTTCGGCTGGACCTGCATGGTCACGACGATCTGCGACTTGGCGTGGTGGTCCAGCACCAGGCCCGTCGCGTAGGCCGCGCGCAGCAGCGACGCGCATTCGGCCTTCGCCTCCGGGCTCGCGAAGCCGTCGTTCTCCTTGGACACGCCGATGAGCAGGTGGGACGCGCCCGTTCCCGCCGCCCCGCGTCGCCGGCACGTCGACGGCCACCGGGTCGAAGAGCAGGTCCCGGAGGAGCGGCACGGCGGCGATGAGCGCCAAGGTGTCGTACATGTTGAACGACTTCACCAGATCCCAGATGGGGTCCCCGGCGCCGCGGTCGTCCACGCCGCCATCCCCGCCGCAGAACGTCGCCTTGAACCACGCGGCGTCGCAGCGCGCCGGCAGCCCCGCGCGCGCGTCGCCCTCCGACGCCGCGCGGCGCCTGTGTGCAAATCAACCAGTGAGCTGGGACGTCGGGGCCAAACTTGAGAATTCTCTAGCTCGGTCAAATCGAAGTCGATTCGGCTGATTTTTGGACGAATCGATTGCTCTCGTCAAGTTCTCGAAGCACGGCAGAAGAGTCTGATCATAGCCGTTTTAATACGCGCACATTGAAGTCGGGTTGAAGATTTGATTTGCACACCGCGCGGCGCCACAACGCCTCGATCGACGTCCGCTGCGCGTTCCGCAGGCGCCAGCCGATGGGGCTGCCCGTGTGGGCCAGGCCCTCGTAGACGCGCCGCGTGATGGGCACCTGGTAGGCCGCGTCGCGGCCGACGATTACCAGGCGCACGCCGAGCTCCTGGCAGCGCCGGTAGAAGAACGCGGCCGCCGTCGCGTCGAAGACGTTGTTGTGCGCCGTGTCCGGCTCCAGCAGGCCGCCCCGGTCCACGCTCGCCGCCGTGACGCCGCCCATGATGCTCACCTCCTTGACCTTGGCCGCGAAGAGCGCCTCGTTGTCGCGGAGGAAGAGCGCGGCGTCCTTGAGCGACGCGATGACGACGACGCCGACGGACTTGGGCTCCGCGGCGACGAGGATGCGGTAGAGCAGCGTCCGCCCCGTCTCCAGGGAGAAGGACCGCTCGGAGCCGTCCGGGGGCATGTAGGAGAACGACGCCGCGTCCGGCGCCTCGTTGCGGCCCGCGACGTCGCCGCCGTCCGTGCCGAAGGCCACGGGCACGGCGTGGAGGCCGATCATGTCCATGGTGCCCCGCGCGAGCTGCGCGCGCTTGAAGGACGGGTGGAGCACGGAGACGACGCCCAGCAGGTCGATGAAGTTGAACTCGATGAGGTAGCGCGCGAAGATCATGGCCATCTCGTCGTCGAGGTCCGTCCCGGCGTCGGTGAACATGACGATCTTCTCCGGCACGATGTCCATGCGCGACGGCGCCATGCTCAGCTGGCGGTGGAGGGGCTTGTCGCGCGTCTTCAGTGCGAGCGGCGGGAGGGATGCCATGCGCCGGCCAAGCGGCGCGTAATGCGGGGCTGCCCAATGTCCAGGCGCTCCCGGCCGAGATTCCCGGCCGATCGGTTGGGTGAGCTGCAAAGCTGCAACTCCAACTTCTTGCCACAGCTGGGAAGCGCGATATGGCGAGCTTTCATTGAGCTGCAGCTCAGCTTCTTTTGCGACAGGACCGAGAGCATGGGCAAAGGCAATGTAGCGAGCGTCCTGGCGGCGCTGCGCGACGCCGGCGTCTCGGCGGACGCCCTCGAGTCCCTGGAGTGCGCGGAGCTGAGCGAGGCGCAGCTCCTCGCCATCGACGACGCGCAGCAGCTCACCGACGCCGAGGAGCTCGGCATCGACGCGCGCGACGCCGACGCCATCGTCGCGGCGCTCGAGGCGCTGCGGAACCGGGAGCGCGGCCCGCTCATCTTCCTCGACATCGACGGCGTGCTCAACCGCACGGTCAAGGCGACGCACGTCCGCCTCGACGACGATTTATGCGCGCGGCTGGGGGCAGTAGCAGAAACCACAGGCGCCAAGGTCGTCCTCTCGACGTTCTGGCGCGGCCACCTGGACTACGTCGCCTACGCGCTCAAACGGCAAGGCGTCGAGGCGCCCGTCGTCGGCGCGACGCCCGGCGACCCGACGGGCGACGGCTACGACGGGACGCGGCCGCGCGCGGACGAGATCGCCGAGTACCTCGCCGCCTGCGACCCCGCCTGCAGCTACGTGATCCTCGACGACCGCGACGACGCCGCGGCCGGCGCCATGCGCGACCGCTTCGTGCGGACGGATCCGGCCGTCGGCCTCTCCGAGGGCGACGCCGCGCGCGCCGCCGCGCTGCTGGCGTCCTAACACTGAGGCTTTCGTTCTTACGCCGCTTCCTTGTTCACGCGGCGACGGCGCGGGGCGCCGTCGCCGTCGTCCGGACGAGGCGCGCGAGGTCCCGGGCCGCGGCGCCGATCCAGAGGTCCGCGGCGCGGTCCGCGTCGTCGCGCGCGGCGACCTCGGCCCGGAAGGCGCGCTCGCGGTCGTCGAGGTGGCGCTTCAGCGCGACGCGGGCGACGCGGTCGCCGTCGAGCTGCGCGAGCTCGCTGCGGAGCCGCGCGGCCGCGCCTCCCGGGTCCGCGCGCGCGGCGCGCTCGACGACGTACCGTAGCTTCTCGTCCGCGTGGTCCCGGTTCGCGTCGGCGGTCTTGAGGCACGTGGCCAGCGCGCGGACGTCGTCGGCGACGCGCGCGCGCGCCGCCTCGAGGTCGCGGAGCTCGCGGAGCGACCGCTTCTGGTCCTCGAGGTCGCGCTCGACGGCGAGCACCGCGTCCGCGGCGGCCGCGACGTCGGCCTTGGCGTCGGCGAGCCGGGCCGCGCCCGCGCGCGCGTCGGCGACGGCCGCGGCCTCGGCGTCGACGGCCGCGTCGTGCGCGGCGAGCGACGCCGCCGCGGCCGCGATCCGGGATCGGACCGCGTCGGGCGCCGCCGCGGCGTCGCCGCGGGCTTGGAGCTCGCGGCCCGCGGTCCGCGCGCGCTCGAGGTCCGCCGCGTGGCCCTGGGCCTGGCACCGCGCCGCGCCCGCGGCGTCGGCCGCGGCGCCGCGCGCCGCGCGCGCGGCCGCGGCGCCGCGCGCCGCGTCGGCCGCCGCGGCCTCCATGGCGTCGACGTCCGCGGCGACGGCGGCGGCCTCGCGGCGGTCGCCCGTCGTCGCGCCCTCGAGGACCTCGAGGGCGCGCGCGGCAACGTCGGCCTCGGCGCGCGCCTCGCGGACGCGCGCGAGCTGGCCGTCGCGCCACTCGCAGAGCTGCTTGTAGACGATGAGCATGTCCTCGCGGTACTTGGCGAAGTTGAGCACGGCGCTCAGGTTCTTGCGCAGGCGCTTGGGCGTCGGGCTGAACCAGTCGCGGAGCCCGAAAGTCCGCGACGCCGCACGTCCGCATCATGTCCGCGACGGCGCGGAACATCGCGAGCTCCGTGATGCTGTCCTCGTGGAGCTCGGGGTAGCAGATCGTCTCGCGCCCGACGCTCACCTTGGCCGTGGACAGGTCCTCGCGCGTCACGCCCACGCACATCTCCATGAGCTGCTCGAGCACGACGCGGATGGCGACGCGGTGCCGCTCCGGGTCCCGCAGCTCCTCCTCGCTGATGCTGAACTCGAGCTCGCGCAGGCACGTGAGGATCTCGTCGTTCGTCAGCAGGGGGAAGGAGAACATGGTGGTGTTTTGCGTCTAGGTGCGGTCAGGGCGCCATGCGCGTTTGAACGGCTTCAACGACCGCTTCAAGAAGCTCGAGAGCGTCGGCAGCGTATCTTCCCCTGCCCAAGCTGAGGTGAGTGAAGCGCTGCGAACATGCGTCCAGCGCTTCGCGCGACAGGATGTAAAAAAAAAAATACCCCCGCCTAGCGCATGCGGCCCCAGTCGTCCTTGCCCTTGCGGACGAGGCGCATGCGCTCCGCGCGGTCGTCGCCCGCGCGCGGGCAGAAGGCCGCGATGGCCGGCGCGTCGACGCGCGCGAAGGGGTTGCAGGCGCGCTCGGCGCCGATCGTCGTCGGCACCGTGCCCCTGCCGCCGCCGTGGAGCGACCCGGCCTCCTTCGCCCAGTCGAGGCGCCGCCGGATCTCGTCGTTGTCCGGCTCCGCGTAGGCGGCGAAGCAGCAGTTCTTGCGCGTGTATTCGTGGCCGCACCAGACGAGCGTGTCGTCGGGGAGCGCGAGGAGCTTGTCGAAGGCGTCGAGCATCTGCCGCGGCGAGCCGCCGTTGAAGTTGCCGCAGCCGCTGACGAACATCGTGTCGCCCGTGAAGACGTTGCCGTCGACGACGAAGCAGACGTGGCCCTGCGTGTGGCAGGGCGTCGACAGCACGCGGATCGTCGACGCGCCCAGCGCGATCTCGTCGCCGTCCCAGACCTCGCGCGTGCACGCGGCGACGGCGTCGCCGCGCCCGCCGTAGACCGCGAGGCCCGGGCGCGACGCCGCGAGCTCCGCGTTGCCGCCCGCGTGGTCCCAGTGGCCGTGCGTCGTCAGGACCATCGCGATCGTCGCGCCGGCGGCCGCGGCGGCGGACGCCATGGCGCGCGCGTCCACGGGGTCGACGACGGCGGCCAGCTTCGTCTGCTCGTCGACGAGGAGATACATGTAGTTGTCGGACAGCGCCGGCACCGGCGTGACGGTCACGCACGTGGACGACGACAGCGCGGCCATGTCGACGACGACGACGCCGGGGTCGCGGCTGGCTTTGCGACGAAGACGACGCTGGCGCCGGTCCTTAGTCTGGCTGGCTGGGCTGCCACAAATCTGCCTCATCGACTTCAGCGACGACCAGGGTGACTCAGATTTATGATGGCAGCATCGATGCGCTGGTTCGCGCGCCTCGCGCTGCTCGTCCACGCGTGCCTCGCGCTGCGCACGCCGTCGACGATCGCCAGGAAAGGTCCTTGCACGCTGCGCACGCCGTCGACGATCGCCAGGAACGCTCCTTGCACGAAAGCCTCGCGGCGCCGGCTCCTCTTCGGCGTCTCCGCGCTCGTCGCGCCGTCGGCGGCGCTGGCGCTCGACCCGTCGTTCCCGCGCGTCGACGAGGGCGCGCGGAAGCCGAACATCCTGCTGAACAAGCCGCTGGAGTGGATCCGCATCGCCGACCAGCTCGAGGCCGACGAGACGCTGGGCGAATTGGCGGATCCGAAGCAAAAGGACGCGCCGGCCGTGCGCCTCGCCAAGGTCGTGCGCCTCGACGACTCGCTCCGCGGCCTGGCGCCCCTCCTCGACTCGCGCGACGGGTCCGCGCGCGCCGCGTCCCGGAAGTTTCGATCGCGGCCGCCGCGCGCGCGCGGCAAAAGCCCCCGACGCGTAGGTGGACGAAGGCGCGAAAGACGCTCTCGGACCCCGCCTTCGAGAAGAAGAACTTCAAGCGCGCCTTCAACGCCTACAGCGACAACGTCTACTACGAGCGCAGCGACCCCGACCGCGCGAACCTCTACCTGCTCGGCGGCACGCCGCCGTCGAACAAGCAGACGATCCAGTACCTCCACCGCAACGACGCCCTCGACAACGTCGAGAAGCTCCAGTCCGAGATCGACTACCTCCTGACGAACAAGGACGGCGACAGCGACCCGTCGGACGCGAAGGCGTTCTACGCCGCGGCGACGAAGGCGTTCGACGCGTACTTCGCGCTCTGCCCCGAGGAGGACAAGCGCGACGCGCGCGCGCTCCTCCGTAAGGCTTAGAACTGGGCGCGCTCGACGGCCTTGTCCGCGTCGTCGAGCTGGGCCGGGTCCTCGATCTCGACGTCGCAGATCTCCGGGATCCGCTCGATGAGGTACGCGCCGACGCGCTGGAGCACGTCGCTCCGCTGGTGCCAGAAGCGGCCCCCGAGGCGCACGACGACGTTGGGGCCCTCGATGCCCACGAAGTCCACCGTGCCCGTGATGCCCACCTCGCGGTTCTCCGCCTCGTACCCGAACAACGCGCTGAGTTCGCCGCGCGCGGCCTCGAGCACGCGCTCCACGGACTCGTCGCAGAGGTAGTCCTCCTCGGCGGCGAATCGCGGCGCGACCGACCGCGCCGGCGCCCGCGGCGGCGCGAAGGCGCCGGCCAGCGCCGCGACGCCGACCAGGAGGGCGACGCGCTTGGCGATCATGGTGCTTGAGAAGTTTTGCCAAACGTCGCGCGGCGATCGATGCGAGCGCGGCCGCTGGCGGCGCGGGGTGTGCTGCGCGAGGTGTCGTCGGCGCGGCGCTCGGCGCGGTGTGGGCTGCGCGTGGCGCGTGGTCCTGCTCGGCTCGCTGACCTTGTTTGAGATTTGCCGCAGCCGATGGTCGCAGTTCCGGCGCCGTTCCCGTGTGGTTTGAGCCCGTAGCGCCGGCAAACGAGCGCGATGTCGAGCGAGGACGTGCTCACGTCGCGCCTGGCGGACCTGGAGAGCGACGCCTTCCACCTGAAGCTGCGGAACTACTACCTGGAGCGGCGCGTGTCGCGGTCCCTGCACGGCGCGGAGAACAGCGAGGAGCAGCTCGTGAAGCTCCTCGAGGACGCGCCGGAGGTGTCCCAGAGCAGCGGGCGCGAGGGGCGGCGGGACGGCGACGCGCGGCGGCGGCGGCGCGGCGACTCGTCCGACGACGACGACGGCGGCGGCGCGGCGCGCCGGGGCGGCGCGGGCCGGCGCCGCGACGAGCTGCGGTCGCCGCGCCGCGACGAGCCGCGGTCGCCGCGGTCGGGGTCGCGGGGCGAGTGGCGGGGCCCCCGCGACGGGGGCGACCGGTCGCGCGTCCGGGCGCTCGAGTCGAAATTGGGCCGCTGCGAGGACGCGCTGGAGAGGGAGAAGAAGAAGCGGACGGCCGCCGAGGTCGCGCTCGAGATCCTCCGGTCGGAGCGGTCCGTCGCCGAGGGCCGCGTGCCCGAGGAGGCGGCGCGCGAGCTCCGGGCGCTGCGCGACGAGGTCGCGGCGATGACGCGGCGCCTCGCGGCGGCCGACGAGGCCGCGCGCGCGGCGGCCGCGCGGGCCGCGGCGGCGGAGGACGCGACGCGCGCGGCGCTGCGCGCCCGCGACGACGCCGAGGCGGCCGCCGCCGCGGAGCGGCGCACCGCCGAGGAGCTCGTCGCGTTCGAGGCCGAGCAGATCGCCGCGCTGGAGGAGGAGGCCGCGCTCCTGCGCCGCGAGCGCGACGCGGCCGCGGACCGCGCGGCCGACGCCCTCGCGGCGCGCCGCGCCGGCGCGCCCCGCGACGACGCCCGCGGCGACGTGCCGCGCCTCGCCGCGGCGCCGGCCGCCGCGAGCGTCGGGACCGCGGCGACGGCGCGGCTCCGCGAGCAGATCGACGCGCTCTCCTTCCTGCCCGCGGCGCGCGCGCCCGCGCCGCCCGTCGTCGTCGTCAAGGAAAGCGACGCCGACGCGCGGCGCGCCGCCGGCGACGCGCTCCGCGCGGTCGAGGCGCTCGCGACGGAGGTCCGCGGCGCCCGGGCCGGCAACTCCGAGGTCGCGGAGCTCCGCGCGGAGGTCGCGGGCGTGGCGGCGCTGCGCGGCGAGGTCGCCGAGCTCCGGCGCGCGGGCGCCGGCGCGGCCGAGGACCGCGGCCTCGCCGACGAGGTCCGCGCGCTGCGGGCGGAGCTCCTCGAGCTCCGCGCGGCACCGCCGCCGTCGGCGCCGGGCGACGACGACGACGTCGGCGGGGCGCGCTGCGACGTCAACGGCCTGCCGGGCCGCGCGGCGCCGGGCCACGAGCCGTCGCGGCGGCCCGCCCCCGCGGCGCCCGCGTCGCCGCCGCGGCGCCACCGCCTCTCCCGGCCGCCGCCAAACGCGAGCTACCACAGCCTCCCGCCGCCGCCGCCGCGCCACTTCCCGAACACGACCGGCGAGCACAGCGCCTGGGTCGACCGCCAGCTCCGGTCGCCCGAGAGCCCGCGCCGCGCGCCGCCGCGGAGCTTCCCGCGCGACGCCCGCGACCCGCGCGCCGCCGACGGGCCGCGCTAGGCCCCGAGTTACCAACCACACGCGAAATCGCCTCGTCTGCCCCGTCCATATTTTCATATCACTGATGTCAGCGCGAACGCCGCCGGGTAGCTCGGCGACTCGAGTCGGCGAGAGCCAGGAATCGGCAAGGCCAAGCGCGACCCGCCCGCGCGCAAGCGCAGCATCTCGAGCTCGGGCGACGACGCGGCGTAACGAATTAGGCTATACTCGCGTCGAGGCGCGCGAGCTCTCTTATAGCTGGCTCGTTGCCCTTGGCAGCGGCGCGCTCGAACCAGTATCTGGATTTGCCGAGGTCGACTTCCGTGCCGTCTCCGAGCCTGTAACAAATGCCAAGGCAAGCCTCTGCCAAGGTTAAGCCTTGCTCCGCCGAGAGCGCGAAGTACCGGAACGCTTCTTCATGTTTCTCCTCAGCAGTAAGTGAAACCCCTATTTTGAATTGCGCGGTCTCGTCGCCCCGATCTGCGGCCGTGCGATAGAGCCGCTCCGCCTTCTTCTTGTCCAGCTTGACGCCACTTCCAGTCATGTACAATTCCGCAAGATATACCATCGCCCGCACATCTCCGAGCTCCACGGCGCGCTTCCAAATTTTTGCGGCTTTCTTATCGGATTTCACGAGGCCCAACCCACCGCTGTGGTACGCGCTTCCCAAACACGTAATTGCTTCCGGCACCTCGTTCTCCACGTGGCGGCGAAGACGTGCGAGCTGCCCCGCCTGGTTTCCTGGGTCCGGCATGCGACAGAGAGGACACGCGTCGGAGCCGATCTTCTCCTCGCACGATCGGCAGACCGTCCGGCAGCAACAGACGCGAAGCACGTCCTGCGCATTCACGTCCCACTCCTCGAGACAGATCGGGCATCGCCCCCCGTACCGCGCCGAGAGCGGCTTTCGCTCCGGGTTCGCTTCGCGCCGTACGCGGGCCGCCTCGTGCTCCGCGGCGATGCGCGCGCGGATCTCGTCGGCGTGCGACCGAGGCGCGGGGCCATAGAACACCTCGCGCGGCGGCGACGGCGCGCGCGTCGGCGCTTCGGCCCGCGCCGCCTCCGCGGCCTGGATCTTCTTGCAGACCTTCCGGTGGCCCCGGTCGCGCCAGTCGATGCGTTGGCAGTCCGTCGAACAGTAGGCCGTCGTGCCGCACCCTTGGCACGCCTTGGCCTTGTCGGCGCCGCAGATCGTGCAGGTCTTGAGAGTGTCGAGTTTTTTGCCCCTCGCTCGGGCCATGCGATTCTCATACTCCAACTTCTTCTCCTGCCACGACATGACTCGGCGCGCGTGCTTGACCTCTCTGTGGGCGTCGCTGTCGCTCAAGCTCCGGGTCGTCCGGCAAAATCGCTCAAAATCTTAATAAGTACCCCAGGCCCAGGCCCAGGTATTATTATTATTATTATGGGTGCTTTAACGTGGGACTAGGTCGGCGGCCCGTGGGCGGCCGACGGCGCACGCGGATCAGGTCGGATATCGTGAAGATGACGCGGCCGAGAGCCGAGGTGTTCAGGTAACCGGAGTATTATTATTATTATGGGTGCTTTAACGTGGGACTAGGACGGAGTACCCCACGAACCCCCCTGGATAAGCGACGACCGCCCAAGCCCACCCCTACCAGGATTCAGGATGACAGGAACACGCACTACTCCGGAGGAGCCCGCTGGAGAGGACCTTTTAGTCGCGCGACTCTAGAAGTGGTGGTCGTCCTCGCAGTCCTTGCACTTGCGGACGCCCGGGCCGGCCTTCCACTGCTTCTTGCTGAACTTGCCGAGGGGCAGCGTCTGGCCGCAGTGGGCGCACTTCTTCCCGCCGGCGCCGCTGCTCTGCCGCCGCAGCGCGCCCTCCCGGGGGCTCGCGGCCGGCGCCGGCGGCGCCGGGGGCTCCTCGGCCACGGGCTCCTCGGTCACGACGGCGGGCTCGGGCGGCGGGACGGCCGGCGGCGCGGGCTCGGGCTCCGCGGCGGCGGGCTCGGGCTCCGGCGCGGGCGGCGGGACGGTCGGCGGCGCGGGCGACACGGCCTCGGGCTCCTCCGGGGGCGGCGGCACGCTCCGCGGCGCCCGCGAGACGGGCTC